AGGCGATCCAAACATGCAAAAAAAAAATGTTACGCCTTTTTTTTTTTCCTTCTTTCTCTTGGTTTCTATAATTTTTTTTTATTATGTTAATTGAAAACTCATGTCTTAAGCTTTAGTTTGAGAAGTATGTTGAATATATTCTATTAAGACGTATGAGCAAAAAAAAAAAAAAAAACCAATTAACTATCTCTAATACTATATCAACTTGTATTGAAGTTCTTTATTGTTTAAAAATTTATGATGGTACATGGATTCAATTATGTAACATTGACATAATAAAATTTTAAGCCTGGAAGGAATCTGAGGAATAATAAGAGCAGAATTGACATAGAGGATTAAGGACCTGATAAATAGATAATCAAGGAGGAATTAATAGCAATTAAAACCCACTAGGGTTTTGGAATGAATGATAATTGGAAAATAAACAAATAATAACTGGATAGGAAAAATTTTGCTAATTGATTAATAAAGTATTGTAGCTGTGTTCTAAATAGATTTTCGCCTTTTTTTTTTTTTTAACTCTATTCCCCTTCCCTTTACTTCACATTTATAAATATATGATTTCACTGTTAAATTATAAAAACTAATATGGATGGGATCCATGTTATAAGATATTATACAAATTCATATTATAAATAGAGATAACATCACATGTATTTATAGTCGTTATTTGATAAAATATAATAAAAAAACCTAAAACAGCCATAGAGTATGCATTATTACGGAATCACCAAAATATTTATATTATATGACTGTTATTGTACTTTTATTTTATTCTTTTACTTGATTCTCAGGTTCTTTGATTGGCAAATTTCAATTTACTCACAGAGCTTAGGCCCTGTCCAGTTTACACCCTTGGCCCAAATTGCAATTTAAATTTTAAAATCCGGCGTCAGCCATTATATTGGATTTTATTCGAAAGCCGTGAAGAGTGAAGACAAGATTTGATATTCCAAAAAAATCATTCGACCAGAAAAGTCATCTCCTATCATTGGAATCCGCAGCCAAATTAATTCCTTTTTGTTTCACGAAAGAATCTTCTATTCCATAATGGACTTTTTTCCCTTTTTTTTTTTTTCCCTCCCCGTATTGACTTGTTTTTCCCTAGTTTGACGGAAAGGTACAAAACTAAATAAACAAAGAAATTGTATGTTTGCTACCGTGACTTTTGAGAGTAAATCATAAACTAATTCTTTTATTTTTAAAAGATAAATTATTTAATTTATTTATGAATGTTTGTTATATATATATTTTTTAATTCAAATACTCAAAGCTATTAATAAAACTATTATGATAGGATTTAAACTCATAATTTTTTATTATAAGAGATCATTACAACTGGATTATAATTGTTATGTTTAATTTAATACTATTTTATTTTATTTCATTAATTTTTTTTCAAAATAAAAATGAAAAATTGAAAATAAGGGAAAAAGATAAATTTACGAGAAAATTTAATAACTAGATAATTAATTTTTAAAACAAAATAGATTACTATTAATTTATTTTTCTGAATTAAAAGACAAATTTATAATTTACTCTAACTTTAGGTTATGGATGAATTTAATTTATTTTTATTTTTACAGAAAAGTAAGTAAAAGCTTTTTATTCATGTAATTTAATTCTATAAAATGATTTAATTTTTCCACCCAAAACCAAACCATATCATAAAGATTGGTTTGGAATATATATATTCATTGGACAGGTTTCGTTGAAAATCGCAATCAATCATAAGATAACATTAAATTTTTTAGAAGCCCTTAGGTTGGTTTCCATTTTAAATAAGAAAAGGAAAGGAAGGAAAACGCTAATATCACCGACAATATGAAGCCGAGAAACCCGAATGATCCACGCTGTTCCCTGTAACAGATCAGCACAGGTGTTATCCTCACCTCGCACCGTCACAAAAAAAATAAAATAAAATAAAAAATAAAATACGAAGGTCAACCAAAAAGAGGAAAGAGATAACGAGCAAGAAAAACTATAGATATGCCCTCAATGTATTTCATAGGTTTTGATTTCGTCCTCATTCTACTAATATGACCCTTAACCCATAAAACGATCTCATTCTCTCCATTCTTAAACAATCTATTAACTTCATAAATCAAATTATTTCAAACCACTGCTCCTATTTATCTGGTTGATGCCGCAACTTGATAAACTTATTTCTTAATATCTAATTTGAAAACAATAATTATTGACTTTTTTTTATTTTAATTATTAAGACATTTCATATTAACTTTCATACATTAAGATTAAGTCTTTTTTTCTATTGATTTTTAAATTAATTATTCACACTCTAATTGGTGTATTTTGAAAAGAAAAATACTCTCGATTTTTCTTATATTTAAATTAGAATGATAATGTGAGAACAAATTCATCTAAATCAAGATAAAAATTTCAAAAAATATGAGTATGAGATCATTTCTTGTAGTATTTCGTATACATTTAAACACAAATAAATTATTGTCCTTATTTTACTCATAAATTAAATTTAAATATATGATAGTTATATATATTTATCAAAACACATAAAATGTGAATTCATAATGAAACAATATTATTATAAGATATATATATATATATATATTTTTTTTTTTTCAGAAACTCATATCCTCAATCTACTTCACATATGAATAATTAATATCTTTACAAATAGCACAAATTCTATGATATTGCTATAGAATCACATAATCTACACTGGTCAATATTATTGTTAAAAAATAATACTCCGTGCTTACTAACAAAGCAAAAAAAAATAGCAATTACTAGTCGATAGACCAAATTGAAAGATACACGATAGTTGGAGAACTTAACTGTAGTTTGACCACAACTAAGCCTGGTCGCAAACCATTTCACCGGGTAAAAAAAAAAAAAAGACCAAAAGAGAAGCAACAATATTTCGCTTAAAATAAAGCAAATAGTTTTAACTGTTATTACCGATCTTTAATTTATTTTTATATTTTTAATTGTATATCTATTATATTTTTAAATAAATTTTTATTTATTTTTTCAGTCATTTTTTTCACATAATGAATAAATTTTTAAATTAAAATAGTTTTGTTTTAAATATACAAAAAATTATTTAAAATTATATGATTTATATGTTTTTATTTTTTAATTCTACAAAAATTTATTTTTTATAATTTAATCAGACACATTTAGATTAAAATTTTAATTGGATTTAAAAAACTAATTAAAAATTTAAATATTATTTGATAAATTAAAACATTAAAATATTTACCTCGTAGACTAATCAAAACGTGGTACGGTTCTCAGCAGCTAAAAATTTTGTATATTATTTGCTTTTTGTCTGTATTTTTGGTCACAAATTACAAAATCGGATAAAGTATGTCATCTCTCTCTTAGTCTCTCGTTCTCTCTCTAGCTTACTCTCTCTGTTTCGTTATCTATAAAAATACATGTCGTTTTATTCTTTGCAGAGTTTTTGTATTTGTAATTGAAAGGTGAAATTAATGGCGAGCCCCATGGAGAAAGACAAGGAGACTGTAACAGTGGAGGAAGAGGGTTTCTCTTTAGAGCTTCCAGCTCCTTCTGGTTGGAAAAAGAAGGTTCCCTTTTGAATTCTCCCTCTCTGTATTTTATTTTTTTGCTTAAATTTTGAACCCTTTTGGGTTGTTTGTGTGTTTTGAGCTTTGATTTGGTTAAGTTTGATTTAATTGCGAATTGGGCTTCTTTAGGATTTGTTAAATTTTGGGTTTTTGGTGTAGAGTTTGGTAACTAGGGATTTCTGCGGTTCGGTTTTAATTTATTAAAAATTATGTGGGATTTTTGGGTTTTTTGTGTTGGAATTATCTAGGGTTGTAGTTTTATTGTCGCCATATTTGTATAATTTTAAGTTTATTTTTTAATTATTTTTTTGATATGGTAGTGAATGCGGGAAGGTTGAGTTTTGTCTTTGTCTGTTTTTTTTTACCCTTTCTTTTTTTGTATCATGATAATGAATGCATTTAGAAAGATTGCCATTGTTTTCTCTATCTTATTAATAAGACCGTTAGAGCTGCTGAACATGCTTATCAAGTTCTTAGTGCTGAATTAATAGAACCCATTTTGCCAATTTTTAATGCTGCATTTATGGTTCAAAATATAAGTGGATCTCATGTTATAATAATGATTAATAGGATTTATATGCTATGATATTTAGGACCATTACTGGCAATGATAAAAGTCTTAAATTGGCTGGTTTAAGTTTCAAGGGCAATCTCTTCATGTAAAAAAGTCTGCTTTCTAGAATTGTCCTGAAATTTGTTTTCTGACTCAGTGACCCTCCTCTTCAATGGGACCGTAAAATGTAATTGTAATGCTTTAGAGTAGGATTGCCTCCAAAATTTCCATCCTACAACTCTTTGGTGGGGCCATAAAATGCTATACTGAAGGTCGATTTGAAGATTTTGGTATTACTTGTCAACGACCCTCGTTTTCTGGAAATATTTTGAAGAATATTTACGGATAAATATATGGGTTTTGTGTTGAGATGTAGTAAACTTGTTGCTATGTTGTCAATCAGCCATTCTGAAGGTTTGAGTGATGGAATTCTGGTCTGTGAACTGGCATTTTTATCGGAGAACGCCACGGTCTTTTGTACTGCTGAAATATATGTGTTAAAACATGAGCTTTACTGTGAGATATTCTACTTCTCATGGAGGAACGGGATAAAAAGGATGTATAGTTTTGTATGCCTTTAGATTTTGGGTTCTGTGAAAGGAGCAAGACAAAATAGCATTTGAGGGGAAATTAATGTGCTTCCAGCTCTTTGAAGGACTTTTGGGTTAAACTGTATAGTTAGTGATGCATTGGATGGTTTTTTGCGCTTATGGAGGAGTTCCTGATCTTTATAGAGTGCTTGCTCGTGTTTAGCTGGTTCAAATGATGCAGGGTCATTGGGTTTAGCTGGTAGTTCTTGTTGCTCTTTGTATATGCAGTGTCCCCTTGAAGCATACATCTATTTGTTCTTTCAACCTATCCAAAGAAAAAAAAAGATGCAAAGACAGGTAAGCAAGAATAATGCTTTTGGATGGAATGTTCAAATGAATTTTTGCTTTTCATGCTGGAGGACCTAGGAACTCATAGCTATAGTAAAAGCTGAAGAAAAAATTAATGCTCGAAAGCTTGTATCACATCAAACAGTTATGAGGAAGTTGACCACCTTATTATTCTGGGAGCTGTCTTCGTATAGCTTTTTAGAGATATAATATGGTTTGCTTATATTGTTGGAAGGAGACACTTTGAAACTTCTGTGAAGGTAGCAAATCCAGAGTTCCTAGGGGGCTTTGTGAAAAATGAGTGTTTTGAATTTTATGGAAGACTTGACAGCTTTTGAAGGCCATATGGAAGACTAGAGCTCCATTGAAAATGTTAGTTTCTGTGGGAAGCAATCTGAAGAAGGATTTTGGCATTGATGATATTTCGAAGAGAGGAAAAATTCTGGTGAACCATGTTTTTCTGGGAGAAAAGTAGCTGAATATATTAATGATTTACTTTTACATTGTGCAAGGGCTAGAAGTTTATGAGGCTTGGTGTATGGCTTTGAGGTTCAATTGATTTGTGGCAGGATCAATTGACAAGCAGTTAAATGCTTGAAGAGGGTGTGTTTAGGTGGAGGAATAAAAGAGCATTCGAGGGGAAGAGTCTATTTTTAATACTGTAAAGGATTTTTGGTTCAAGATTATGCACTTTTTGGCACTCTGGAATATTGTTTTCTAGGAGGATCTTAAATAATGGATTAGTTGTTTTGTATGCAGATATAATATATAGTTCATGAGCCAAAATTTTTAGTTCATGATATGTTTTGTTCTTGTAAATGGGTGGCACTCCCTTTGGTGCCTACGCCTATTGAATTTTATTTTCTCTGTCTATTCGAAATTAATAGTTTAGTGGGAGAGCAATTTTGCAGGCAGAAGAACTGGGGATGGAAACTAAAGGAGAGGACGAATTTGGTTGGGAATAAAGGGCAAAAAAAGTGGAGACCTTAAATGCTTATGCTAATCCACCATATGATTGATCTTTGGTGTGGGTGCAAATGAGGAAGGAAAGGTCCACCATGATAGGTTTCCTTTATCTAATTCCTAGCCTTTCTTTTCATTTGACTGAGAAACAAAGGGAGAAATGTTTCGGCTTCTGGATGCATGTCCTTCTTTCCTTTCCTTCCTTGTAACAAATGGGATGCAAGTAATGTCAGCAACCAATTTACATTACAGAAACCACTGGGAAACTATGGTAGCTGAATTGTTTTAGGTGGTGTGCTTGTAACATATTACTGTGTTTTCTCCTAACTTTGATTGGCAGAATAGAAATAAAGTGGAGATGCATTCCTGGGGTTGTGCAAAGGGTAACTTAAATGTACTTTGACCTCATAACTGCCCTTTGAAGTCCTCATAATACCACCACCGAGCAATCCCCTCCTCTTGTTCATGGTAATGACTAAGAAATTCTTTCACTAGAGGTTGAGATTACATTGATTTGAAAGAATTGTGGACAATATTATTTAAAGAACTCACGTGAATGTTAAGTTTCCTTTAGCACAAGGTTATTAATGAGGATTCTTTCCTAGAATCACTGTATAGCAGTACAGTAACACATTGGGACTATGTTTGCAGTTCTCCTTGTAACATCAACAGCAACAACACAACAATTGCATTGAATTTGAATCTATTCAAGATGCAGAAATCCTGTATTGCCATTTGACTTATTTAGATCATATTCATAGTTGGAATCATAGTCTATCATCTTGACTTTCATACCATTGCGCTTTTATTTTTGCTGCTGCCACTTGAATTCCTCTACTTCTTGTTATGCCACATGCTTAAAATTGAACTAGATAGTATCTTAACATAGCATGTTTTTCTAGTGCATCTTTGGTTGTCTATGCTGATCGGTAGTCAATCTAACCTGTTAGTCCCTGTTGATGTGTAGTTTGTACCCAAGAAAACTGGGACCCCTAGGAAAGCTGAGATCATATTCACTGCACCAACTGGGGAAGAAATCTCGAGTAAAAGACAGCTGGAACAGTACCTCAAAGCACACCCTGGTGGTCCAGCAGCGCCTGCATTTGACTGGGGCACTGGTGAGACACCAAGGAGATCAGCAAGGATCAGCGAGAAGGCAAAGGTAACTCCAGTGAAAGAAAGTGGACCTCCAAAGAAAAGAAGCAGGAAATCCTCAGCTTCAAAGGAGAGCAAAACAGAAACTACTTCGGGAGGAACTGAGGAAGCAAAAGAGGAAGCTGAAAAAACTAAGGATGACACGGAGGTGGAAGTGAAAGAAAACCAAGATGAGAATAAAGGACCAGTTACAGAGACTCAAACAGAGGCAGCTCCTACTGAAGAAGCTGGAGCTGGAAAAGAAAAGAGTTCTGCTGAAACTGAAGAGGGAAAAGATGAGTCAGATCCTGGAAAAGGGAAATCAGATGGTCCAGCATCTGAAAACGAAAAGGAAAAAGTAGACAAGGAAAAGGTGCAAGAGAAGGATGAGCAACCACTGGGTGAGGCAGCTAAAGAGCAGGGGTCAGGGGAACAGGAGAAAGCAAGTGCAGCGATTGATGATGAGAAAAAGAACGAAGCTGAAGATGACAAAGAGAAGCTCAACAGAACTGCTGCTGAGTCTGAAGGAGAGATAAAGGGTAAAGAAGCAGAGAATTGCAGTAGTGAGAAACCTGAACGTACAGGTGTTGATGGGATCAAAGAAAAGGTTGAAGGGCAGGCAATTGACAATGGCGGCAATGCCGGCGGGGTTAAACCTTGAGTTACTGCATTCAGAGTAATTTAAGTCTGCTTTGTCTCAATCACATCTTTCTGACCTTTTAGTCTGCAAAGTCCGTTAAATGACTGTAGCGTTAATGTTGTATTGAATAGTTTATCTGATTGTTGATTCAGACATGCTTTAATACAGGCACAGGTTAGGTGTATAATGTAGCAGCTCTTTGCTAAACTAGTAGCCTGCAGTAGTAGTCATTGTACCATCATGGCGTCAAATACTGTTTATGTAATATTATTATGCAGTTATGTAATAAGATGATGACAGAGATTTTATGTGGCAATAATCTTCATCCTTGTTTCATGATGTCGTTTGGAGTTTCCAGTTTTCCCCCTTCTAAATTGACCTTCGACTGCTGAAGACTCACTTTTGTCATAGAATATGGCTGTACATGTGGGGTGAGGTTCAATTTACAGATTCCTGGTTTCTTGAATTTCTCAAATCTATTGTAAAAGATTGGAGGAGCAAGGATCGGGATGAAGACAGGTAATCATGACTGATGAACCTGCTTCGGTCGCTCTTCTACATGTCTACGCTGTACAACGTTAGGATTCACAATTTTGTTCTCAGTTTACGTCCTGATACGTAGTTTAAATTGCCAAAGCAGTTGTAAAATAGTTGTGATCGTAATTGCTAGTTGGTGTTTATCACAATAATAAAATAATGTTAATAGAAATTGATGTTGCCAATGCATCGATAGGTTAGCGATGATTAATAAATTTATTTTAATTCATATATTTTTAATAATTTTATTAATTAAGTATAATAATAATATTTTTAATAGTTTAATATCACATAAACAGTAATAAAATATAAAAAAAATTAATTTTTTTTCAAAAAACATGACAACGACAAATAATAAAGTCATCCAATGGTAATTGTAAATAACGTCTTCATTTGTGTGCAATATCATTATGCTTTTATAACGGCATATAACAGTATAACGAGTAATAGATAAATTCAAAATTGTTAAATAACCAATATTATTTGAAACTATGTTTCGATATTTTAATCGTTTCTTTTTGGAAAATTTTATAATACACAAGGAGTAATTAGTGGTATGTATAGTAGTTACTCTTTGGATCCACTTTGAGGAAAGAGATAGACACATAAAAAAGAGAAAAATTACATCCATACTCATCAAAAGTGATAAGAAGATTTTCACGTCCGCTCAAATTTTTTTATTTTCTCTCTTCTATATTTCTCTATCTCTTTTTGTGTGTCTATCTCTCTCTTCAAAATGAGCTCAAGAAGTAACTACTGTATATACCACTAGTTATTCTTTGTATATTATAAAATTTCTCATTTCCTTCCTTATGTTAATTCACATTAGCAACGATAATATGTTTCGCATGAAAGCAACCTTGTGCATCCATAGGTGAATATGTAAAGAACGACATAAATGAATTCAGGTAGTTTAAAATTTCAGTAGCATAAATAACTACAAATTTTGCAATGCCTGGCGATAAATATTATTACTCGTAACCGGAGCTCAAAAACATTGAGCAAGAAATTGGAACTCGTGTACAAGTAAAATAGCATGTTGATCTTGAACTGTAGGAAGTACTAGGAACTAAGAAGAAAAGCTAGTGAAGAATTGAATGACATGAGAAATTAATGAACTTCAAATGCTCCTCGCAACAAAAAGGAAATGAACAAAGAGATCACCCAGATTCCTTTCAAAGCCCTTTGAGCTGTCCAACCAGCCCTGTCAAGGTTGTCCATTTCTCAAAAGCAGCGGCTGATGACACAAAAGCAGATTTGGAGGACTCAATGTCTTTGCTAGTAACTGCAAAGCCAAAAACATAATCAAATTACACAACCATTGTAGGATCATACCATGCAAAAGAAAGTGGTGTTTTGATGTCATCTGGACTACTATCATAAGCCCAGTGTTAAAAGATCGTCTCAATCCAAAAGTTTAAACCGTTAAGATTAAGACTTTGATATCATGTTAAAAGACCTTCTCAACCTAAAAGCTTAAATTGTTAAGTGAAGGACTATAAATGATTTTATACTATTCTCTGACACCGAGCTTGCAATCACTAACGAGTATGCTGAAATGTGTGGCATAAATGTAAGTCATGGATCCTGAATGAAGACAGTGGGAAGATAACAAACCTGATGAAATTAATGAAGCTAAAGAGGAATTGAAGGTGTCGACCTGAGTCTTTTCTTCAGTACTAGAGCTCAGCTGTATAGAGAGATGGAACCAAAGTAATCAGAATTCAGAACCTCTCAGAAATGAATCGTGCTATAAATGCATGGATTCACAAAAATTTCATCATTACAGAATCAAAAATCTTGAATGCAAAAAGGAAATCTCAAGAATGCTGAAACATCAATCTGTTTAATGTAGTTTGAAAGAAAAACATTTTGATAGAATCCAATGGTTGGCCTCTACCCTCTCCAATGATTACCTTGGTGAAGGCGATATTAGCCTTTTGAACCCAATCTGCAGCAGTGCTACCCCCAAGAACCGAACCAGCAGTGGATAGATCATTGTTGTCTATGGCTTGCCCTACTTTACTCAGCTTGTACACAAGATCTTGCAAATATCCTGCAACAGATCGTTTTATCCGTACAGGAGCTCCCATTATTCTACTAATCAAGTAGTGAAATAAAACAATAATAAAAAAAAATCATCAATAATAAACAAATCAAGATAAAACAACTCATGGGTCCATCAAATTATACGCATTCGTGATGCTAATTGGCTATGTATGAGTCCAAAAAAGACCTAACCTTTTTCCTTGTTAGCAGAACTAATAACTCCTTGTCTTTCTAACCTCTTCTTTCTGTCCCTCTTAACTTTCTCCATTAACTCGTCATCCTCATCAGCTTCTAATATAGCTGCATTGGCTCTAGAATTACCTCTACTTTCCAACGAGAATACAAAGCTGGTTAAGAAGCAAATAGACAAGCTTCTTTTGGTTACAGGTAGTGACTCATCATTGAGAGCTTTGCATAAAGTCATCAATGGTCTCTTGGCATTACATTTTTGTTGTGGACAAGATAATAGGAGTGGTGTATTTGTTAGGGAAGATAAAGAAGATAGTGTTGAAGAGGAAGAGAGGAATGGTTTTGCAGTTGAGAGATGTGTTGCTGCCATTTTTTCTTGAATTTTTCTTCTTTTTTTTGTTTTTCTGGTATTTTTGGTGGGAAAAATCTGAGGTGTTGATAGTTTGGACATGTATTCAAGAGGATAAGGTTTGCTGGTTTCTGTAATCTGATCCAGTCATTTTTCAAATGTGTAAGGGTATTTTGGTCTGGTCATGTTAAAGTTTGTTTCAAATTTTCCAGCTTGACATGAAAAATGTTATTTTCTTTTATTTCATAAAGAGGGAATTTTTTATTTTTTGGCGTGTCTTGCTTAATGGTTGGTGCGCTATTGAACTATGTGGAATCGGTTTTCATATATCGAAATTAAATTATTTTTTTCAATTTAATCTTAAATAAGTCATCCACATTTAAATTAATGCATTCACAAAATATACATTTTTAAAAAATTTCATTTAAAATTAGAATCATAATGATAAAATCAAGAAAAAAAAACTCATTTATTAACTGAACTAAACCTAAAAAAAATCTTAATTTTATTAATTCACCAACTCCATAAGAATATTTTTTTTTCATATCTACATTAATAAGTTTATAATAGATTATATATCAGTTTTTTTTAATTTTATTATGAAAATGATAATATTAAGTATTATATGTCACTTCCCCAATCTTTGAACTATATATTTATTGTTTAGTTTACAGTGAGAGTATGCTAGAGTCAATTTAAATACCGAGATTAAGTCTATTTATCTTAGTCATTCAAAGATTAAATATTAAAATTAAAATTATCGATAAATTATTGATCCGTTAGTAAATAAGTTGGTCTCCAAACAAATTTTCTATCGATATGTAGAGTTTGAATTCTGAAATCATACTTGTTGATAGGTGGTAAATCTTGTTGTTTTCATTTTAAATATAATTAGTTATATATATATATATTAACATTAGAATTAGAAAATTCATAAAAAATTTTGTTTGAATTATTCATTCAGCTCTTTACAAAAAGAAATATTCATTTTATTACTAAATTGAGCTAACATCTCGTGGGAAGTAAGTCAAATGTAGAGTACCAAAAACTTGTAATCCAGTGTCAATGATTTCTTATAATAAAAAATCACAATAGTTTTATTCAAAACTTTGGATGTGAAAAGTTAAAAAAAAAAAAAAAAAAAAAGTTAAGTCAAATGTAGAGGGTTCAGCTCATCCGATCCAAGTGAAAAAATGCCTAGCTAGCAAATGGGTCATAAAGCAAAAACCTAGCCCATTCTCCATTAAAACCCAACCACAGACTTTCATCTATCCTAGTTTCACTTTCTAACAGGTTTCAAAGTTGAGCAGTACAAGTGTACGTACGTATGAGTTAAAGACTTAAAAGAGTCCCCATGATGTCTGGAGTAGTGTTTCTTCTTGCAGTTGCTTAGCTGCCACGCTCTTCCAAAAAGAGAACCCATTACAACATTACATGTACTCATCAAAGCATGATGCAAAAGCAGATTCCCTTACGTGTAGCATAGCAGTTGGTAAGGCAAAAAGCTCAAAAGCTTCTCCTTCTACAACTTTCCTAACCTTAATAACCAAGCACCATTTTCTCAAGCCAGCTCTAAAGATTATCCTTTTAAATTATAATAATATAAATCATGTTTTGAAATTTCAGTTTAAATATTTTTTTTTATAAAATAATTTTTTGACATGATATCAAATCTTGATAATTGAACAATGATAAATTCAAATCTTATCATCTTCATTTTCTCTTATAATTAATTAAATATGAAATAATGTGGATATGTATGTAAATTTTAAGTTTAAAAAACTTTCATCTAAAAAGATGTATTAAAAAATAATATATATTCTATTATAAGATTTCATTCAACAATTTAAATTTTTGAACAAAATAATCTTTTGATAATCAATCCTCACATATTTCGTTTGATACACAAACATAAAGCCATTACTTTTTTCTTTATTAAAAACAACTTTCTTCACTTTTTAATGTCCATTTCACACTCTGATTGTGATTTTTTTTTTTAAATAAAAGGGTTATAATTTTAACATCTTCTTTGTTTTGTTCATTATTAGTGTTTTTTTTTTTTTTTTTTATGGACTTGATGATAAGCCTACTTTTTTTCAGGTTTCTTTTTTGGAATTATTTATTTGCCTAAACTCATACTAAAATAGATTGTTGTAACTTGTAACCAATGATCAAGTATGGAAGCGTGGAGTTTGAAAAAATTATTGTGTTATTATTTTTCTTTGACTAGAGGGCAGAAAATTAGTTGAAACTAACAAGACTATGGTTTGAATTTCTTTAGAGGAATGATGATGGTGAAAGTTGTTGATGGGGTTAAATCAATTCACTTAGAATTGGTGTCTTCTACTTTGCAGGCAATTGAAGCAATAAAATTCAAAGGCCTTCTGGTTTCAATTTTACCATATCGATCACGTGGTTCCAAAAACATACAATTAGATCCTTGATGAAGTTAATCCTGAAGTTCAAAAAAAAAAAAATGATGAAGTCAATCCTTCCATCCAAAACTTCAGGGATTAAAATTTTTTTATTAGAAATATTTGTACCGGAGAATCTGTGGGATGCACGCATGGATTTATATACGTGAGAGGTTATTGTATATATGAATAAATACTATTTTCAATCTCAAATTCTGAATCAGTAGATCATGAATCTATTTTATCCACAAATTACCCCCTTCTTTTATTCCCAACCAATGTAAGATATTTTTGACAACTCACGTGTATATATACTATCTTAATATACTTGCATATTTGTTATTAATGAAATATTTTTAGATTAGTTTTTATATTAACAGAGACTAAATCTATTATTTTTCAGATTAAATCAACATCAGAATACGTTTAGTTTTTTATGAACTACTGAATTATTTTTTAGATCAAACCAATATAAACTTTGTACGTGAATTATTATCATCCTATATTTATACATCATAGTATTCAAAAATTACTTTTATATATTGTTAAGCTATGAAAATTAATATAAATGAGGATCTATAGTATAGTGTGTTACGCATATAGCAGTCTTGGTATAAATAAAAATAATACATCTTAGAAGCTGCTAATTGATAAATTTTAATAAGAACTTCTGTTGCAATCATGAAGCATGCACGAGACATGATAGGGCTCTGGATTCAAGTCCCTATATGTCTCTTTCTGGTAAATTTTTTGTAAATTAATGCACCCAAGATGATTCTAATAAAACATGGCCCAGAGACAATCATAGAATCATATCATTCTATCTTTTGTCCTCAAATCTTCTTCTTTTATATTCCCTTTCTAATTAAAGCAGAATATCTACGTGCCCTTAGTTAGTGCATTTTAGAACAGGAACGCTCCAATATTCTTGTCAAATTGGGTCTGCACAAGCCGTCCCTTATCTGTCACCTTTGAATTTGTGCTAAAGTTGATTACTTTTCAAATCCTTCTTCAGTGGCCACCTATTTAACACACCATAAAGTTTGACAAAATATTGATTGTTTTCATACTTCTTGCTTTTTAATGCATGGTTTACGCGTCAAATCTGTATAGAGCGCGACAATTGTGACTCATTTATTATTATTACTATTAAAATAATATGCTACCGACTTAATTAGCCACTACAGACAAAAATAAAATTCCTATAATATAATGCAAAATATGAAAATAATCATATATACAAGGATTGAATTTAATATACAATATTATATAATAAAGACTAAATATCACATATTAAATGCAAGATAATTTTCTTTATTAAGAAAAAAGAAAAATTAAAGGAAAAAAATGCTAATGATTGATTTCTTTTTCTCTTTTTTTTTAATAAATAGTTTAATATATTTTTATATATTAGTTTGAGTCTTCAGTATATTCTTATATTTCTAACCGTATGTATTATATTTTTAAATAACGTTTAAATCTCCAGTTTGTTTTTTCGATTTTAACTTTTTTTAATCAAAATATCTTTAATTAAAATACAAAAAAACGAAAAAATATATTAAAAGTGAGATGACTTACATATTTTATTTTTATAGTTTTAGAATTTTTTATTTTTACATTTTAGTTAGATGTATTTTGATTAAAAATTTTATTCATGATTGAAAAAATAAATAAAAATATAGATTGAAAATCAAAATATTATTTAATAGAAGTAATTAAAAATATAAACATAAATTAAAGATTCCACCTGTAATATAAACATAAAATGAACTATTTGCTTTTTTTGAAAATAAAGTAACGTAATGAGAGAGAATCTTTTATCACGTAAGTGAGAAAAAGTTTTAAAATTTTTTGTGTCGGGCATTTGCTCCAATACATGAATTCACCGTGGTAATATTTGCATTTCATGATTTTTCTAAAACACGTCAAGATTCATTGGTTTTCATAATTTTAACATTTAATTTGGAACACAAATTTCCCAGTGCTTTTACTCCTCCTCTCAAATCCTAGGTATACCTGTGGAACTTCACGTCATTCATGAAACCGAAGATAACAGGACAGAAAAACTTCCACGATAATTAATTTATCATTACATTTTCAAACCTCGTTATCAGTAGCTGGTTTCTTCGGTTTTATCTAATCTTACAAAGATTGGCTCCATCAATCAATTGGATTAATGCCTTGGACCAAATGGGTCGATGACACTTTCCTATGAAAAAAACTGTCAAAAACACCGATTCAATTCAAAAATTCAAATGTGTAATGATACTTTAAAATATAATTTATATTATTTTTTAATATATTTTATTAAGTAAAAATCTTTAGAATTCAAAATTTAAATATATTATATTAAAATTTTAATTTATTTAAAGATAAAAAAGATAATAAGATTCAAATTTTTAATCGTTAGATTACATAAATTCTGATATCATATTAGAGATCTTCAAAAAAAAAAAAAAAAAAAAAAGGAGGCATGTCAAACAATCACATGACCATTCCAAGCCAGATCAATGGCTAAGGTTAAGCCCTCTACAGCTACGATGAATCGATGATCACCAAGGACTATATATATATATATATATATATATTCGATTGGTAGGGATTGGTCTGATCTTAATGTTGTGATAGGACATATTTTTCATAGAGTATTTTCCTCGTATTGGCGTTAATGCATCCGCTCATTCATGACTTGAAAATGATTTCCTCAGCCTAACTTTTGCCCATGCATATTATAAGGGAGAGAAAGTATTTGTGTTCAAGTATCAATTATGGCGAAGATTTTATAGTCTTTGGGTTGTGCATAGCTTTTGAATATATCAGTTAAGATATTTTGTCAAAAAATCAGTCCAATTCAAATTCAAAAATATAATTTAAAAATTTAAATTGTTAGATACAATTTTAAAATATAGATTATGTTATTCTCTAACAAAATTTAGAAGAACATTCCCTTCGTTATTGACAAATACGAAGATTAGAGAAATTTTATAATACATCGGTAATAATTAATGATATGTACAATTGTTATTTCATATGTTTACTTTGAGGAGAGAGATAAAGATATAAAAATAAAGGGAGAAACAGGAGAGAGAAAATAAAAAAATTTGAGCGAACGTGAAAATCCTCTTATCACTTTTGATGGGTATAGATGTAATTTTCATCTTTTTTATGCGTCTATCTCTCTCTTCAAAGTAGACTCATGAAGTAATTATTGTACATGCCACTAATTACTCTTAATATATATTATAAAATTTCTCTTAAGATTATGGAATTTCTTGTTCTTGAATTCAACCATATATTGCGTGTCTCAAATTAATCTATAACTCCATTCACAATGCGCAAAGAGCATGTTATTTTCTTGCAAAATTCAAAGAATTCAATAGACTAGCCAAATTCATGATCAGCACTTGAATCATCAAAAGCTGCTACTCAGACTCATTATTTCAACAATTAACACAGATTTCATATCTCAAAATAAAAAAGTAATTTTTTATTGTATGCTGACCCACTTGCTTCTCATGGGGGCAAAAGCAACTTTTTGTTAGATGAAATCACTTTCAATTACCAGTAGTGCACTCACTAAGCACTGCAAATTGCTAGAGATTAAAGATGCTATTTTCCACCAAAAGTGATAGACAACTGGTAAGCAGTCATTTATTTGTAAGTTCGGTCAAGAATTTAACTTTTGTAATTAATTTTTTTATAAATTTATTTTTAAAATATCTGAGGTTGTACGTTCAAAAATGTTTCTTGGCCACTTTTTTTTTTAAAAAAAAATCTTGAGGCATAAAAAACTGGCTGAAAACAACTTTACAGCTCAAAAAAAAAAAAATGGCTATTTTCTGTTCATGGTTATTGACTTCTTTTTCTATCTAATTAAAGATAAATAAATTATAAAAATTTTACTTCTCGTCATAATTTATCTAAACTTTGAACTCAATGATCAAACACAGCCCTTAGTTACTATCAGTCAATTCTCAAATATTATAATCGCCAAAATATTAGGCCCAAACAGACTTCATCTCCCTCGTCGTATTCTTACTATTCGTCAGGTAATTTCAGCTTTTTCATGTTGTTTTTCTTTTTTGGGATAAAACTTATATATATATCACTAAAATCTCTCGTCATCCAAAGTGGCTTTGACACTTGGCAGAAGTGGTAAGGCCCGGTCAAAAGAAAGAGTCATTTTACGTTTCAAAAAATTCAGAACCATTTGACCACGCGCTTTAGGATTAGTGTATTTGTTTTCTATAGAGACGGCACTGTCTTCATTAAATCTGATAATTTAAGGAACAATTATATATGTAACTGGTCTATTCGTTAACACTCTTGTTTTTAAGATTAAGATTATTTTAATTATCAGTTTATGCATCAATTGATGTTATATTTTTTTAAAATAATATTAAAAAATTTATTATGTTGATTCAATATATTTAATAAAATAAGCAATTTTGAATGTTTTTCATAAGATTCAAACTTAAAAAATAAGTTGAACGATAAAAAATTCTTGAATACTCTACGTATCTTTTAAAGTTTATTAGTTAGTATTTTTTTTATACAAGCAATTACGTTTTTTTAGATTATTTTTCAAATCAATTAAGATTAAATCTATTATTTTTAGGTTAAATTAATGTCAAAACATGCTTAATTCTTAGTCAACCACTAAGCTATCTCTTGGACCAAATCAGCATTAATCTGATACTATTAGAAAATAATCATGACTAGTTGTATGTGAATAGTAAGAATTGAATTTTGATCTTAATTAAACTAAAATAATTTTTTTATCATTAAATCACATCATTAGACGATTATTAGTTAGAATTTTAACTAAATTATTTATAAATATTAATGATTATTATATCATCAACCTATTTTTAGAAGAAAATGGTCATGCCAATCTAGATGAGAACCAAGTTGCAAAAAATTCATTTAACTACAATTTTGAACAAGTGCAAATTTGATTTTAAAAAATCATACAGTACCATACAATGTAGTTGTTAGTTGGGCAATGATTTTCAAAGGTACTTGTTAACTTAAAGATAAAATCAAGAGAAAAGTGGGCACTTTTAGTTTGCTTGCTAAACTAATATATATATTAAATCATGTAAATTATTTGTATTTGACATATTCAATAAAAAAATATAATAAACTAGCATTTTCATGCATGTATACTTGAGCTTAAATACAAACTATTAATTATTACTCTTGCGATGTTACTTATGTGACAAGTATATTTATTTTTAAAAAATACAATAAGAATAAAATTAATTTATGAATATGTTCGTATATATAGATGATTTGTCTAAAATTCAACTGATAAAAAATTTAGTTTCGATATATAAAATTTAATAAAAAAATATTATTATTTTTTATTTTTAACGTCCAAATCTGGCAGATTAATTTGGTAAACTAAACCAATAATCAATTTTTTTTTAATGTAATTTAGCTAAATCTCTACAATTCACACAATTATTTTTGTTTGTCCGTTTTATGCGTCCCTTGGAGGACAGCAGGAGCGTGAGTGTGCCGTAGTTTAAGCGCGTGGTTCATGAAAATAAACGCAATGCTTCAAAACAGGTATGAACAGTGACCAATAGGAGGAAAGTATACTACTGTTCACGGCATAAGCAAAAAAGGAAATTTTTAAAAACACAGTGCCAATATTTTTTGGTCAAGCGACAAATTGGTCCTTTAAGCATCAAATAATTTTCATTTTAATCTTCATTTAATAGCTCATCACCAACGCAATATATCCTTATTTTGTTAATATCTTTTGTAACAGAAGACAAAATCATGGCACATCAATTGAATTCTAATTGAAACAGGTTTACATCAAAATTATGACTTGAGTTAGAATTTAATGATTTTAAGTATATAAGATTATGATAACATCCATAATAACTTGCATTTTAGATCAATTTATTTGATCCATTTATTAATTATAATTAAAAATTATAGTTTGATTTTAAATCTTTCTTTTGTACAAGATGAAGGGTTTAATATCCTTATAAAAAGAAATAATTACAAAGCACAAAATTCAGGGAAACTAATCTCATGCATATCATCAAGAATAGTAGAATATATTAACATTGAGTATAAATTGACCCTATAAAATGATTTTTTTTTATTGTAAAAAATGGTCATGTTTCTTTATTTTCCAAGCAACCAGAGACAAAGAGCATTATAGATATTCAACTGCATGTCTATTTTAAGCTATTTCAAAGATAATCAATAAAAAATTGATAAAAAATTAAGAATAAGATGTTCAATATCAAATAAAATCCAAAACCTTTATTTAAAAAATTTACTTAAACAAGTTGTACCATTTTTATATACTTACCACATTGCTTATCAGATTGATTGTCTGTAACGCTTCTCTTAATGCAATTAAATCTTTAACCTTATAAATACCATACTTACAAACTAGGTTGTTGAAAAAAAATCAATATATAAATTATTAAGAACAAAAAATAGAATATAAACTAAAATTACACTAGTTATAAGTAGCCTAGAATAGTGAAAAAAATTAATTTTATAAAGTAAATCGTTAAAGTAAAAAAGCAAACGTGTTCTTACACATGCAATAATGGTACTACCATAGCCCCTCTCCAAGTCTGTTGTTGGAATTGAATTTTGATACTGTTGAAGAAACAAATGTGAGAAAAATTAATGCTCGGAGGACTAAATTGCATGATAATAAAATGTGACTCCCACATTGACAAGAATATGATACGTGGGACTTGAATCTCTCCTTTTCCTTTTTTATAATATTAGAAAACATAATTAATTAATAGTAAGAGGACAAAATCGAATGAAAACCAATAAAAACCCCAAATAAAAACCCTTCACTCACTTCTATAATTGAAGTCCCAAAGAAAACGACCGCCAAAACAAAACCATCAACCCTCTCTGCCTTCGCTTTTTTCTTGTCATTTCACATATTTCAGTTTTATATAGAGAAGATTTAGATACAGGCACAGAAACCCCTTCAAAAATCTAGATTATAGATTCAAAAAAGAAGCCAAGTGATAGAAAGAAGAAAAAGTTTGAAACTTAATCATGTGTAGAAGCTAAAAAAGTTGAAAGAAGATTTTTTTTTGTCTTATGGCATGCCAATACCAGCTGCATAGAAGAAGAGTTTCAGTTACATTGAAGGAGTTAATTCAAATAGAGATCTTTGCTTAGATATTTTGTTGTGGTGGTGGCTGTGATCTTTATAATGAATAGTCATCATCATCATCAGTTCCTGTTTATGTTCTTGCTCTTTTTTGCTCAAAAGATTGGTACTTTTTTCTTCTCTTCTGTTATGTTCTTTAGTTGATTGGATTTGTATAATGGGTTCATTTTGTTGTTTCCTTACTTGGGTTGATCTCAGATTTTTTGTTGAATTGAATGGAATTTGGATCATTAATTTTTTTTTTTTCATTTTTATGTTTTCAGTGATTTTTAGCTTGTTGTTGCAATTGGGTTTGTTTGTTTTAAGGTGGATTTTCTTGGGTTGCTTTTAATTTTTGGTGACTTGAAAGTGTATTGACTGCAGTCAACTGAAACACTCTGTTGTTTGTTTTTCTACTATGATTGCTCAATGCTTATAGAATTTTAAGAGAGTTGAGTTTGTTGTTCTTGAAAATTTTCTTTTTTACTTATGGGAATTTTTATTATTTATTTTTTAATAGTGGTAACTCAATCCTTTGGTGGATTAAACTTTTTTGTTTGGTTTCCAAGTAAAGAACTAAAAGAAGTTATAGTTTTTCTTTGATAGAGCTCCTTGTCTGAGGATGATTTTACTGTTATGGAATTTTGGTTTTATGTGTTAATATTTCTGCTGAATTATTGAGTCTTCTCTCTTTCTGTATCTAGTCAATACAAGGAGCTGCTGTGAATTTTAGTGTAGTACTCTTCCGCTTGTCTTTTCAATGATCTATATTGGAATTCTTTGATTTTGCATAAGAGAGTTAATACATAGAAGAGAATAGGAAAATCAAATTACAATAAGTCAAATTTGGTTTGGTTATGATCAACTGATCATTGTATTTTCATTACCTAGTTCAATAATGCATTTGGAGTATTGCATACTTAGCGATCTTGGACTGGTTATCCGTTGTTTTTGCTTTTGTTCTATGTTCCTTGTTCTTTGGTGGCTTGAAACAAATTAGAAAGTGGTTGAAGAAACTATCTTTACGTTTATCTTCTTTTTTCCCAGAGCTTCTAACTACCGAAGCATTCACTGGAACCTATGGAATAAATTATGGAAGAATTGCAGATAACATCCCTTCACCAGATGAAGTTGCTACACTTCTCAGGGCAGCAAAGATTAGGAATGTTAGGATTTATGATGCAGATCATAGTGTCCTCACGGCATTTAGTGGCACTGGGCTTCAACTTGTTGTTGGGCTTCCTAATGGCTATCTGAAAGAAATGAGTGCTAATGCAAGCCATGCCATGACTTGGGTAACAGAAAACATTCAGGCATTCCTTCCTAAGACCAGTATATGTGGGATTGCTGTGGGTAACGAAGTTTTAGGAGGAGGTGATGATGAACTCATGGAAGCTCTTCTGGGTGCTGTTAAAAATGTTTACAATGCTATAAATAAGCTTGGTTTGGCTGATGTAGTTCAAATTACTACATCACATTCACAAGCCGTTTTTGCTAATTCTTACCCTCCCTCTTCCTGTATATTCAGAGAGAATATTGCTCAGTACATGAAGCCACTCTTGGAGTTCTTCTCACAAATTGGTTCTCCATTCTGCTTGAATGCTTATCCTTTCCTGGCCTACATGAGTAATCCAGAAGATATCGATATTAATTATGCTCTTTTCCAGAAAACAAAGGGGATATATGATACGAAAACAGATTTGCACTATGATAACATGCTTGATGCTCAGATTGATGCAACCTATGCTGCTCTGGAAGACGCTGGATTCAAAAAGATGGAAGTCATAGTTACAGAGACAGGTTGGGCCTCACGTGGAGATGATAATGAAGCTGCAGCAACAGTTAATAATGCAAGGACATATAATTATAACCTACGTAAAAGGCTTGCAAAGAAGAAAGGTACTCCACTCAGGCCGAAATTTGTGGTGAAGGCCTATATTTTTGCGATATTTAATGAGAATTTGAAGCCTGGACCGACTTCTGAGAGGAATTTTGGACTTTTCAAGCCTGATGGAAGCATTTCATACGATATTGGGTTTCATGGACTTAAATCTTCATCAGCAGATTCATCACTTTTATCTCTGAAGGTATGAGATTGTTTATACCATACATCATTTAAAAGGCAACATTTTGGAATTAGAGTTGTTCATTTAGTTGTCTCCTATCACACATACATATAGATATATATATTTTCTAATTCTAGGTTCTTTTTCATGAAAGATTTAACAAACCAAGTGAAATTTTAAAATTCTGCTGTCAACCATCTACATTTTACTTCTCAAGTGGAAAAGAAAGAAATGCGGAAAGGAGTCCTCCACAATTCCACAAGCACTTGCTTTGCAGATGAAGTATGGGCATATCTCCACATTTTCTCCAATTGTAGGAGCCCAATATCCCAAATCACATCATTGTATGACATACTTGAGTTTAAACTACTAATAGTAGATGGCATCAAATCTTACTCTTTGCATTGAAATCAGTTTGCCTTTGTCATTTTAATTTCTTTTTTTTTTTTTTTGGGGTCTCATTTTCTCCAATAGTCTGAATTTGCAAGAAAATGCTACATTCTGCTCTGCACTGTGCTCTGATTCTCTGATTGTTCTCTCTTTAAGAATTATGCAGTAACTAAACTCTGGACATGTAGTGGGTTGAGTTTATTTGAGTACCTTTATCAGATATGATTATGATCTTTGTTATCTCAAATCATTCTTTGACATGATAAAATGGATTAGACTTGCCATACAATTTTCTTCTCTGGGCAACCAACAAAGTGCGTGTCCTCTGAAAGGTGAATTTAAGGAGCTCTATATTAAGTGATCACCAGGAAATTTGCATGTCTCTTTCAAAATAGTAAAGGGAAATTCATATACAATAGTTATCAACAGCCCATCCTCGTAAGTTGGAGAGGGGTAACCGAGAAAGGTGAAAGAAAAATGTAGTGCATATGTGCGACTGCATGTGTTTTTCTATAATCTGACGCCTATTATTATCTGAATGACGAAATTCTAATCAAGTTTTTCCTGGGTTTTTTTTTTTTTTTTCCTCGTTGGTGCTCGCACAGGTTGTCCGAGCTCAAGGTTTGTCCAAGTCTTACATATTGATATTGACAATCTCTGCTGCGGCTTCACTTCTATTTCTGAAACAATAAAGTTGTCATTATTATATTAGAGCAAAACCAGCATTGGAAGTCAAAAGTTCTAGGATTGATACAATTCAAGTCACTCGAGTGCAAAAATATGAATTAGGTTCGATACGATCCTTGTCACTCGGAGTACAAAAAATACGAACATTGATTTTTTAACATGCATAGTATATTTCCCAGGAATTGCTGATTTTTATCTATTTCAGCAAATGTATATCAGTTCCTATCAAATAGAACCTTAGTTTTTACCTGTCATAGTTTTTCCTATGCGTATGCTGTTGTATTTAGGCAAGAAGTTATTGATCATGACACTAACTAGTTTCCTTAGAATCATGTCTCTGCTAAATTTCTTTCAGAATCTGCTTCTCTTGCGGAGGGATCAAAAGCTCAGCATGGAGACAGGTATTTTTGTTAGTGTATTATGACTGCGTTTAAAGTTCAAAAACGTTCTATGTCATGCTCCTGAAATGGAAAGCAATGGCAAACCTTAATGCTGTGTTCCATGCGGTATAGAGCAAGCATGAATCCACGTGGCAATGCATACGAGTAGGACTTAGTTTGAAAATCACATCTTCGTTTAGTAGACATACTGGTGTCTTCCTCAATTCTTGGTCTGAGATTTCTTGAGTTTGAGCTTTGTGCCTTAATATGATGTGGAAAACGATACAAAATGCATGGATCTATAGTACATTTAGCAAGTTCACTCCTGGTGGCTTATTCGAGTGATTATATCTTCCAAACAAATTGCGATACATCGGTGTCTGAGTTTAAACACCAAGGCTAAGCTGACTGGTCGCCTGCATTCTAATATTGGGTTCATTGAATTGTAAAAAGTCCTTCTTGGGATCTGTCTCCGGCTAAAAAGGCCTTTAAGGAGGTGAAATATTGATTGCCACTGAAAGCAGAATGAAGCCCAGATGCACCCACCACCATTAAACCAGGTTAAAATTTATGGTAATTTACAGAGGTGTGGCTTGGACGTGGACAGCAGGCTGCGCAAATCTGCAGAGCATGATATCTACCGTCCATAGAAAAAAAGGTTAATATAGCTTCACTTGTCCTTGAACAATGGCTTATATTTTCAATCTATTTTTATACCTTAAATCGATTCTGTCATGATATTATTTTAACAAATTCCTAATCTATCTTTTTGGTCAGTTTTTTCGGCCAAACAACTTAATTTGTACATGGCATGTTTTTTTAATGAAAAATGCCCCTCAAAAGTTGACTATGGAGTAACATGATTTGTATATGAGGGCATTTTTGTCAAAAGACTAGTTATGTGTAAGTTACGTGGTCAATTTTTTGTGATTTGGTTAGAAAAAATGATTAGAAACTAGCTAAAATAACATGAGCATAATAAGACTGTTTTAAAATATAATGATAGATTATTCAAGAGGGTTGGTTTGAGTGGAAGCTTAAGCAAATAATCTTGAGTTCAAATGCTAATGTATGTAGAAAACTAATCGAATAGTTGTGTCTCTTTTGTGTGTTCGATCGAGTAACGAGAAATTAGTTTGGATTCTTGGATTTAAGATACCTTAAGAATTAAAAAAAAATATAATGATAGATTGAAAACTTGGGTCATTGCCTAAAGACCCGTGAGGCTATTAACTCTTAGTAAAACGACTAATTTTAATTTTTCATGTTCGACGTCAATAGCAGGCTATTAACTTGCTTTGTGTTAGCCACTAGGACTCACAAGATCAAGAAGCCTTCTTACATGTTTTTTAATAATGAATATAATTTATAGAGAACAGACCAAGCTAGTAGCATAGAATGGTTCAAGAATATCTAGAAATAGATAAGAACATATGAGAGGATGATGAGTGTTTCCTCCTCAATTTTATTGATAAACAATAACCTAACCAGAATATTTTTTTGTCAAGTCAAAGGTAAATGTGGTGAAGGCATGCTTTAAACCAGGGTCGCCTAGTCATTAACTACCCCAGTACCCTATAATAGACTTCAATTACTAAGAAAATATGCAGATAACATTAGAAAATGTACCCTAAGTGATGGTGTCTGTTGAACTTTTGTTTACTTTATTAATTGTTTTCTGCTTGAAAACAAATTAGAGAAACACAGTCGTGTTTGAACGTTGTCTTAGTCATTTTATTTCCATCCCTTTGGATTTTTTTTCTTCTCTTCGGAAGTGGGGTGACAACATTTTGGGCTTCTATCATGTCATCCATGAAGTAATCTTTAGTGAAATGAGGTTTCTTTTACACAACCAATAAATAATGCATTATCTCCGTTCCAAAAATATTTTCTTTTTGACTTTTTACACAAATTAACTTTAACAAAATTATTAATTCAATTGATTTAATGACAAATTTTGCTCTCATTCTAATGCGATTTGACAATTTCAAATCTATACCTAATTTGAATTTTAAAGCATTCGAGATTGAGCAAATGTGATCCAAATTGTCCAATTTTCATTATGTATAACGATCAACCGAATTGATCGTTACTTGGAATGCCAAAACAACATCGTTTTGGCATTCCGTTGTTAATTATGTTTTTAAAAAATTTTAAAAATATTTTTAACCCCTTTAATCTTGAAATTTTTTTAAAAAACTTTTTTGTTATAAAGTACTATAAAAAATTTATAAATTCTATATAAAAAAATTTATAAATATTTTTAACCCCCTAATTTTGAATTTTCTTTTATGTGTTATAAAATATTATTTAAAAAAACATAATTAACAATACATAATTTCAGACCTTAAAAAAATATTTTATAAATTAAAATGAGCATAATTAAGGGTGACCCCCTTAATTTTATAAATTATAAAATGTTTATACTATTTTATAAAAAAATTCAAAATTAAGGGGGTTAAAAATATTTATAAAATATATTTTTTATATAATTTATAAGGAAAAAAGTTCAAGATTAGGGGGTGAAAAATATTTTTTAAATATATTTAAAAAAAAACATAATTAATAGCAGAATACCAAACGACGTTGTTTTGATATTTCAAATAATAGTCAATTAGGTTGACTATTGTACATAACAAAGATTAGGCAATTTAGATCTCATTTGCCTAATCTTCGATGCTTTGGGTTTCAAATCACATGATTTAATACTATAGATTCAAAATTGTCAAATCGTAATAGAATTTGAACATGATTTATCATTAAACTATTATTAATTGTTATGCCATTTTAGTATATTTTATTTCTATCGTCTAGAATATTTTTTTATAAGAAAAATTGTATTTAGACTTTTTTTTTCAAAATAAACTTTAATTAAAAGTATTTTAAGAAAATACATCTTATTAGACAAATGTTTTAAAACAAATATAAATAAAAATATAGAGAGAATATTTAACTCCACTGCTCTCTTTCTATTTCTATCTTTCTTTTTTGTGGGGATAGCAATATCAATTGATTGCATAACTAATTCTAATTTGTTCGAAATTATTGAGACCTAAATAGGAGGATGACATGTAACTTAAGACTCATCTCACAATTTATTATCTCACTTGGTTTATATATATATATATAGAGAGAGAGAGAGAGAGAGAGAAAGAGAGAGAGAGAGAGAGTAAATATTCATCATTTTGTTTCCTATGCCACTTGACCCGACATGTGCAATTGACGCGTTTTCAGTTTCAAGAACATTTCAGAGCAGGCGGCGTCCCTGGCCAAATCCAAGGCTTCGCAAGAAAACATGCCTTTACCAACTACCGCATTTTATCCCTTTTTCTTTGTTGCCAAAATGGAAATACGTCCCAAATCCATTTTAGTTTATTAAGAATATAAATGTAGGCGAGATAGTTAATCCACGTTAAATTCCCATTGAAAAACATTATGCATTTTACACTCAAAACATTTGAAAAAATTTCATGTGTCTCTATCAATAATAAGATCTAAATTTAGAATCTTTTGAAATTATAAAACAACCATAATAATTTTAAATTAGAGATACAATTGAAAAAACGATCATGATTAAATTATGAGTCGTAATTTATTATAATAATAAAATAACGATCGCGATCGCAACCTCGACCGTTATATTATGTAAGGTAATTATCTAAATCTATAAAAATTCTATATGTTTGACTCGAGTCCAAACCCTTTTTTGGGTGAATAACATGTTTAATAACCATTGAACCAATCTTGAGGCCACATAAATGATTTAAATCTGAAAACCAACTTATCAATGTTTAGACGCATGGTTTAGCTAGGGGAAACTTGTCACTTGAAAGTAATATTTGATTTTAGAAGATAAGAAGATTTTGGCTGGAATGACTGCAATAAGATTCACAAAGGCCTATGATAATAATATAAATTAAAATAAAATAACATTCATTTTCTTTCACCTTTTAATGTATCCTTGAGCAGATTGATGCATATCTAATCACCTTCATTGTTTTTGGTCACTGTTTCTCATTGGCTTATCAAAAATGAAAAGAAGAAAGAAAAAGAAGAAGAAGACAATCTTCTAAACCGACCAGAAATTTCTTTATTTTCTTTCATTTCATCAGCCTAATGCATGAATGATGCCACCCACTGTAGTTAGCGACTTGGCATCCCATTAGCCATTGGTTACCTAAATGGGAAACCAGAAACCATTAAAAAAAAAGGCAGCACCATAGGTTATAGCTCAAATTTGGCTGCTACAAGTGGTACATAATTGAACCATGAATTGTTTAAAGTTGATTCATTCCAAATGGAGTGATACAGTTTTCAAGAGTTAGGAGCAATATTGATAGCTGAAATCTTCTTTTTAAAGTTACAGAATTGCGCATTAAAATATTGAATATTATGGTTCAAACTAGGGATGGCAATTTGCCATCTCCCATCCCATCCCATCCCATCCCGTCCCGATCAACATGGGATTTCCCGAGTGGTTTGGAAAACGAATAGAGGCACCCCGCCTCGCATTAACTTTGAACGAGAATAAGACGAGAATGATATTTATCCACCTTGCTTCATGTCGCTCCGTCTTAACTTTTTTTTTGAAAATTTGAATATGATGCTTAATTATTATCTTTTTTAATTATATTTTTTATATGAATTATTATCTTTTTATTATAATTTAAATTTTGATACAAAACTATACGAGATAAAATGAAACGAAGTGAAATGGGTGCAAAGAATTAAGGTGTTCCGCAAGGATCTCGTCCTCTTTGAAAATGGAGATAATAAGAGAAATGTTGCCCCATGTGGGGCATGAGGCAGGGAGGGCCAGAGCTTTTTAGGAGTGGGGTGGGGGCGGGGATGGCCTCATTGTCATTCCTAGTTCAAACTCTTTGGTTTTCTTTGTTTTTTTTTTTTTTTTTTTCTGTTTACAAATAACTTATTTACTACAAAAGAATTGAGTACTTTTGTCATCAAATTTGTTGGGATGAAACTAAAAATTGAGAAAATATATAATGTTTTGGAATTGAAGGAAATGGCCAATTGTTCATATACTGCACTATACTAAATGTCTCTCGGTCCCAAATCAGTCTAAATCAGAACCAGAAACACCAATTCTTGATGAGTTTGGTTTATGGCATGATCAAGTCATTTTCACCCTTTTACTTCATGATGCTGATGCTGATGCCATTCAACAACTACCCCCGTATGATAAAAAAGAAAGAAAAAAAATTACTAGTCAAATGTTGCAAATTTCTCCCTCCAAATGGCACCAATCCATTGGCTAAAGGACAAACTTTCTCTAAAGACAAGATAACAACTCCCTCTATATATACACAAGAAGATTAGCTAGAGAACCTCACACACACACAGAAACATTAGAGAAGGGGTGACCTAACTTTGAGAACACACATTCCTAGACCAGCCAACATGAGAAGTCTCATTGTTTTTGTAGTCTTAGGAGCAGCATCCCTACTGTTGCTTAGCTCAGAGGCAGTAGACTATCAGGTTGGAGACAGCACCGGTTGGCAAAATCCTTCTAGCTCCTCTTTCTACTCTGACTGGGCTTCAGGCAAAACCTTCTCTGTTGGTGACACTTTGAGTAAGTTAGCATACGCATACAAAACACTAATATTTACATTCAATTCTTGATCTGCAATCTCCTTTTTTTTTTCCTTTGATTCATCAGAGGTCATAGGCTTTTGGGTTACTCATTACATAATTAATAAAAAAAAATTAAATTCATTAAGACTTAGACTTTTTTTTTGTTAAAAAAGTTAACTAGATATACAATCGTTAATTAGGTTAAGTCCGTTTATATGATTTGCGATCTTTAAATATTAAATCGAAAAACTCTAAGTTAATTAGTAGGAAAACTAGCATAATATCGTATTTAATAATTATAAATTATCTAAAAAGGGCCTTAATTGTCTCCATAGCAAAAAACTCTAAGTTAATTAGTAGGAAAACTAGCATAATATCGTATTTAATAATTATAAATTATCTAAAAAGGGCCTTAATTGTCTCCATAGTGAAACTAGATCAATTAAGGATAGTTGAGCGTTAATACTCTGATTTTATCTCTTTGAATTGCTTCAATTTATTTGACAAAATTGTTGCTTTGGCAGCATTCACATTCGCTACAGATTCGCACGATGTGGCCACGGTCTCAAAGAGTGATTACGATAATTGCAACATAGCCAATCAAAACAATGTTATCAAAGATGGACCAGCAAATATCACTCTCAGAGCCGCCGGTGATTACCACTATTTTTGCACATTTTCTAACCACTGCTCTGTTGGACAAAAATTAGCCATTACCGTTGCTGCCAGCAACAGTACCCCTTCCACCCCCTCACCACCAGGGACACCAGCTGGAACTCCATCTTCTTCACCGCCGCCGCCGCCTCCCTCAGCCGCCTCAAGTCTTGTTGCTACCTTAGCTTTGTTGTTTATGTCCATTGCCATTAGTTTCATGTGTTACTTTTAGTCCATGTAGTAGCAATAATTTTCTTGTGTTATGACATATTGCTTCCGTGTACTTTTATCATTCATTTGATGATATACTAATTGGCTTTTATTATGTATTTGAATAAAATTGTTTGATTTATACCTGCTACAACTCTTTATCCTTTAATTTATTTTCTTCAGCTACGAATAATTACTAACTTTTTTGTGGAATGATCACCATGAATTTTGGTATTTAATTTTGGACTAAAGAGTACAAACATTTTTTGAATTTTAAGTTATTTGAAAACCAGTACTTTGACTTCTAATTCCGAATTGACCGCTCTTTAATTATTTTTTATTTAAAATTAGATCATTCTGTTAAGTTTTTATTAATCTAACATGTAAATGCAATTCATAGTCGATTAAAAATATGTCAAAATTTATAGATATTTTTTTCTTCAAAATTCTTTTTTTCCATTGAAATGTTGAAAAGTAAGCAATTAAAAGACATTTTACAAGAAAGAAGCAAATTTTGAAAGAAAAAACAAAACATTTACAAGTTGACATATTTTTTACTGATAAAAAAGTTAACAAGTCAACTATGTGTAAATCACATGTATTCTCATCTTTAAAATATAAGAACTTAACAGAAATTTTTAATTTTAAACGAAAAATAATTCAATCCGAAATAAGAAATTGAAAGATTGATTTTCAAATGACTTAAAATTCAAATGAGATTTGAACACTATAATCTTAATTTTGTTTGCAATGACTTTTTATGAATGTATTTTGAATTTATTAAATATATCTCCAATATTATTTTAAGTATTTGGTATTGCCATCAGATAAGGGATTAAAGGCCATCAATATGATGCCGTCCCATTATATTATTATAATCATAATTAACCTGTAAAGTCTACCTAACCTTATATCTCCAACGTGCTTTGTGCTTGTCATTTTCTTGTGTATCCTATAAACAATTAATTAATTAGGTTTTATTTTGACTTGTTGCAATTTCTTAATATGTTGATTCTAATCCTCACCTAAAAAATGAAGGAGACACGAAGCTTCCTAGATTCCAATGCATTATTTAAACAGAGGCTTATAAGCTGCATATAGAGTAAATTATAGATTAGTCCCTATAGTTTCAAGAAACAAATTAATTGATCTCTCTTGTTTCAAAAATTAATTATTTAGTTTTTATTTTTTAATTTTTTTGTTAACTTAATCCTTTTAGCTCATTTTCAATTTTTTATTTTAAAAAAATAAGTAAGAAACATGAAAGAAAAGATGAGAAAATATGACATTTTATAAAATAAAATAATATTAAATTACATGTGATTAACTCTATTTAAAGAACTTAATAAGATATTAAAAAGAACTAATTAATTTATCTCTTAAAAATAGAAGGACTAATTTTATAATTTACTCGGTGTGTATATACCAATTTAAGAGGATAAATTTCAACAATTCAATAACAGGTTTTTGCAAATAAATGCCAGTCAACAGGAAATTTAGGTCGTTTAATTGGATATGTTATAAGGTGTTGAAATTCAAGGTATTCTATCACAATAGAGTGCAAGAAATAGAAGTTTTGCACTACTCTAGTTTATAGAGTTTAAGATATTATAAGTTCTTGTTTTCCTATAGAGACCACAAAGACTTTCTATGTTATTCTTTTTAGACATTTTGTTTGCGATTAATTTCTATTTTTTATGAACCAATAAGAATAGATCCTTTCCAAAAATTAAAAAAAGAAAAAGTAAATTATAATTATTTTCTTTAAATAAATCACTATTTACTATGTTTAATTTAATATTAATTTATTTTTTAAAAAGATATATTTTTTTCCCATCAACGTTTACAGCTGATCTTGTCTGTATATATCCCATTAATTTATTGTTACAGATCGTGTTACAGAAAGGAAGGTTCAACATATTTAATATCGTGTTATAAAATTAAGTTTTCTTGTGAAAGCACATGAAAATGATAACCCTCCTAGCAAGAAGGATTCTGCAGAAAATATTGTCAGGTTTTTGAAGCAAAGTCTTATTGACTAAATGATCTTACTTCTAACAATAATATTTTAAGTTATGTAATTATCATACAATGAAAATCCGTGTTGACGTTATTGTCTTTAATTAAAATATATATGGTGTGATTAAGACAAGATGGTACTTGGATATTAGTTAGGCATGTAGAACGTCATCCGTTGGCCTAGCAAAAGTGAGGGAAGGAAAGTTGCTATTTGTTGATTAATTCTCAATCTACTAATTATAAAAAATTATAACATTGTTGAATTTTCCTGTTTTCTTCATTTCTTACCAATTCAATCCTTGGATTATTATTGGAATAATCCTTTGGGATTAAACCCTGTTTCAATCCTTTGAGATTTTTATTTTATTTTTTACCATCAAATCCTTATTTTTTTTCAAACATGAGAGATTAGGTTTTTGATTAAACATTTATTTATTTATTTATTTGTTTGTTATTTAAAAAAAGATTGACATACATTGATAGTGTTGTAAGGCCAAAATCTTCCATCAAGTCTGTGTTGGAATGAGTCTCTGGTGCATTAAATATGAAGTACCAACGTTTTTCATTTCTACGTTTACTATTTTTGTTCTATATTTTATTTTTCCTTCTACTTTTGGATTCTAAAGAGAAACTCGACACTGGATGGGATGAATACTGGCATTGGATTTGTTACAAAACTTGTTATAGTACATTACTTGTTAATAGATAATTGTCTTTAATTTGCCGAACAATTCTTGCAATGAAAAAACTACGAGTTATATTAAAAAGAAATCCTAGTATTTTATGAGTGGTGCCAAATTCGCTATAAAAAAAATTTATTCTCACTACTTGTTTTTTTTTTTTTAACCTTTTCAGGTAATCCAAAATGGTATTTTAAGTTTGAATGTAATAAAGGTTAATAAAAAATATACATCTGAAAAAAATGTGTCTTTGAAATCATCTGAAAAAATATTTATTCTCCATTGGTATGTAAGTTGGTTAAAAAATACTTCTTATTATCTAATAAAAAATGATAAAAAAAATAAAAATAAAATTATTTAATGCATTTTGGAAGAAAATTTTTATTTTTATTGCCATACAAAACTAAACATCAGATATATAGCTAGAGAGCACTTGAGATGATCAAGGCTCTTGACATACCCCAGCCATATATATATAAAAAGTTCAATACCCTCCATCACTTCTTCCAAAAAGCCCATCTTCAAGACTAAACCCGTTAACACCACCGAGATCAAAATTGCCCATATTCTGATTACCAAACTGATCATTAGCCATTGTTAATTCGCTAACCCTACTAGCCACATTCTTCCGTAACTCTTGCATGGCCCTCACATACTCCTCAAGTTCTTCCAACCCCATCTCGTCAATAGATCTATCCCACCAAAACCCTGCATTAGCATCATTTTCACACACCTCATTCCACTCTTCGATCATTGCTACATGCTTCTTCTCCTCCTCCAACACTTTCAATGCCTCCTCGTACTCTTTGTTCCAACGTTGGACTTGAGGGTCATTAGTCGCAGGCGCCTCTCGTTCGCTAGAAGTAGAACTCTCGTTGAGATACCGATCGAGCACTATGTCGACGTTGGGGTGACCAAAGGCAAACACCTTTTTGCCTGGAGAGAAGGCAAGAATGGCCACTTGAGCCCCACAAAGAAGGCATAGCTCGCTTGCTTTCTTGACTAGACCACCTCGGCGTTTTGAGAAGGTCACTTGCAGATTGCTCTTCTCTTCTATTCGCTTGATTTCTATTTTTTGGCGGCCTTGGGTTTGCTTTTTTGTTTCTGTGTGATCACCATTTCTTTTTTCCCTTTTTATATACGATCAAGTGAAGGATATAAAAAAGAGAAGGGAGGAGGTCAAGAGGCTATACCCTTCTGAGTTTTTGTGATACTATTTCTGAGCTATATATTTTCCAAACAGACATAGTTCCAATTAATCAGCACCAAAAAATCGGTAGGGATTAAGTTGTTTCCTTATATAATAATAAAAATCTTTTCAAAATTGGTCATTGTGAGACAATAAAGTGGTACTGACTATGATTTAGGAGAAACTAAAGGAGGGTCATAGGTGTTCATATTTTTGTTGTTGGCCTAAGTTTATGAATAAGGAACGTTTGACTTATAATGCAAATCAATGGAAAGTTTAGCAAGAGGATCTGTAATTAACTTTATGATTGAAAATCTGGAAAAGGAAAAGAAATTAAAATCAATCCTAAACAAACAAAAGAAATCAAAGATTCTTTAATATAATAAAAAAATTCTGGCTAAACTTTTTTTTTTTTCCAACTATTAGATGAACCCTGAAACTGCGTAGACAAATTTCTAAGATCAGTAGTCTTCTTTCATGTTGGGTTTCTTGTATATGTATGGTTTTTTTCATTTATATTTACTCTTCAATAAAATAAATATAACTCCATTTTAGTTTTATTCTTAAATTTATACTACAATTATGTTCTAATTAACTCAAAAATGTATTATACTTCTTTTTCAAAAAAATAAATAAATAAATAAAATGGATTATACCACTTCCGAGTACATTATAAATCAGTCCCTCTCGTTTTCAAAAACAAATTAATTAGTTTTTTTAGTTTTAAAAACTAATTATTTATTCATTTTAACTAGTGTTGACCACGACTAATTTAATATTTTTTTATTTTGTAAAATATTTTTTTTGTCATCATTCTTTCTATATTTTTTTTACTTGTTTTCTATTTTTTCTATTTCTTAAAAAATTAAAATATATTAAAAAATAAAAAAGGGACTAAATGATTATTTTTGAAACTTGAGAGATTAATTAATTTATTTCTGGAAGCAAGAGAGACTAATTTATAATTTACTCTACAACCTCCATAAATCCTTATTCAACAGTGCAATTGGACAACAAACATATTCAAATTGGGTATTGGGCTTCCAAAAATTAATTTCTTACAAGATCATAAAGAAGATCCAAATTTGATGGGCTATAAATTGGGTATTGGGCTGCATTGGATTCCTTTAAAAACCTTCTTTCTTTTTTATTCTCCCACATTCCTGAAAGAAGGGTGTGGAAGCTTCTCAAACCTCACACCGTGTGAAAAACAATATTTTATTTTCTTTAACATCTTTTTTATAAAAGGAATAAATCATGCAAATAAAGTAATATATATAAACTTTACAACGTGCTTTTAATATAGAATTGACCATTCATCTTCCACAACCAAAGCAAATAATTGGTACATTACCCACTAAAAAGCATATACCTCTTTTTTCAAGCTCGCTCACTTTTAATTAACATTACAAAGGCAGAGCAAAGTGTCCTTCCTCGTTAGTTGGTGAAGGAAAAAAGTTAAGAAAAAAAAAAAAAAAAGAGAGAGAGAAAGAAAAGATAGAAAATGATGCTTTCATAGTAATTGAGTTGACACAAGTCAAATCCCACATTTGCTAGAGGTACAAGTTAGCTTTTTCGATGGACTCGAAGATCAATATAAAGAAGAAAATTATAAGTTAGTCTTTCTAGTTTATTAAACAAATTAATTAGCTTTTTTTTTAAAAAATAATTATTTATTTTTTAAATTTTTTTGTAATTTAATTTTTTTAATTTATTTTGATTTTTATTTTAAGAAATAAAAAAATGAAAAGCTTGTTGAGAAAAGATTATATCTTTTTGAAATAAAATAATATTAAATTAAATTTGAATAAAACTAAACAATGAATTTAATAATTAATTTTAAAAACTGGACTAATTAACTAGTTTTTTAAACATAGAATGACCGATTTATAGTTTTCTATCACTTATTTTGGATTTTTTTTTCTAGATTCTTAAGGTATTTCATATTCAAAAATTCAGATTAATTCTTCACTATTCAATTGGATACACAAAACAGTCACAATTACTTAAAAAAATTTTTACATATATAAAAATTTGAAATCAAAACTATTTATTTAAGTGATTAGAACATTTTCTATTCAAATCAATTCTTTTTAAATTATTTATTTTGGGCTTTAAAATAATTTTTTTTTCTCATGAGATATATATATATATATATATATATATATATATATATATATATATATATATATATATGATGGAATTGGGGATGTGACAATGGGATCATGGAAGAAAGCTTTTTTTTTTTTTTAGAAGGGATTGTGCGAGATGGCTAGCTAATTTCAAGGAAAGAAGCACAGATTGGTTGCCAGCACATATTCTTAAGGTTATTGAAATAAGGGCAATGTCGCATCTGGTCCATGAAACTGCAGGCCAACGAGAATTATTAGTTTTTCAAATACCAAACGGCTTAAAAAAAATGGCATAGGGTTTTGGAAAGCAAAATCATAAAGAATGGCTTCAATAATTTGACTCCCATATCATACGTTAGGATAGAGACTCTTGATTCCAGGATCTAATTTCTTGTGCTTAATCACTTTAATTACGCAAAGCAGCTGCACCAAAACCAAAAACATTGCTTTTGGTTATAACAACAACAATGGCACATAACTCAAAACCAAACCTAACCAGCTTAAAGATATTTATTAAAAAAGAAAGAAAAAAAAAAAACAAATCAAAGATGAGTGAGAGGGGAGACTTCCAAAATTCATGACTACAAGGTATTGGTTTAGGTCAATTTATAGTTTTTTTACAACAAGAAAACATTGATTCGATCACTAATATTATCGGGAAAAAAAACTTTTAATATGTCGGTTTAATGATTAAAGAAATAAGCTATTTGTCTTAATTTTTTTTAAAAAATTTAAATATTAAAACTAGCATTAAGAGAAATTTATTCTTTACATAAATCATACATCGTATCGATGTTAAAATTCGTAAAATCATTTAAGAAAAAATTCTTAATCTAAATTAATGTAGAAGTTAGTTTAAAAATATCTCCTACCTACCGTTAACTAAACAACATTGTCCTTAGTCGTAATTTTGTCCAGCTATGAACTAAATCCCATCAAAAATTAATTGGATCCCAAAAGTCTTCCCTTCGTAAATCTTGACCTTCACATGCCTCCACCTCTCTCTCTCTTTTTCCTTCATGGAACTTCTACTGCACTCATTTCTTCCCATGTTATGGGCCATACAATGTAATTAATTCACTTTTTTCCTTAATGGGTTTGCCCTAATACACATTACAAGCCAAAAACCATTGACTAGTCAACTCCCCAAAAGTCACACCTTTTGGTGAGTTCTCACTTCCCACGCGGCAAAATCTCAAGAATTTCTGCTAAGTCCCAATTCAACAAGCCCACCTTTGAAGAATCAAAACTGCTTGATCAACGGTGAAGAATCACACACGTGTTCTCCACACAATGGCTCAAAATTGCTCGAACTTTCAAGGCAAGACCTGGGCTCCCTTGATAAATAGGGTACAGCAGGCACGTTAATACATTCATCTACTTTCGCCTGTATTATCACAGGAAGGAAAAGCAGAGTCCACTTAAAACAGAACAAAAACAGAGCAAAAACAGGGGCGACCTCTTCTTTAACAACACATTATCAATGGCAAGAGGATTCAACATGGCATTCCTTGCAGCAATTGCCATAGCTGCTTTGATACAAAGCTCGGCGGCGCAAACAACCTACACTGTGGGTGATACCACCGGCTGGACCATTCCTCCTAGTGGTGCTACTTTCTACCCTTCCTGGGCTGCAAACAAAACCTTCAATGTTGGTGACATCCTAGGTAGGATCATGACCCGTGTTTTGATTTGTTTTTTTTAACTATGTTTTGAGTTTAATCGGAGCTAAATAAGGCTGAATTTTGTCAAATAATGATAGTTTTTGTTCAAATTTTTGCAGTGTTTAATTTTATGGCCAATGCACATGATGTTGCCAAGGTGACAAAGGCAGATTATGATGCTTGCACCTCGAGCAGTCCCATTTCTTTGACAACAACCAGCCCAGCTAGAATCACCGTTAGTACTTCAGGGGAGCACTATTTCCTTTGCAATTTTGCCGGCCATTGCTCTGCTGGTCAGAAGTTGATGATCAATGTTAGGGCTGGATCTGCTCCTCCTTCTTCTTCTCCAGCTCCTCAGACATCTTCTCCTTCTCCTCGACCTTCTACTCCAACTCCTAAATCTTCTCCTGCTCCTCAACCCACCACTCCTCCGCCGGCTTCCGGTCCATCGCCGGTCTCTACCCCACCACCTACACCTGCCCCAGCTTCTGGTCCATCACCACCACCACCTGCACCAGCTTCTGGTTCATCACCACCTTCACCTCCCCCAGCTTCTGGTACATCTGGCCCATCACCACTCTCACCCCCAGGTGCCACACCACCTACCACTGGTGCTCCTCCACCAAGCTCTGCTACATCTCTTGGTTTCGCTGGCCTTACCGCTTTCTTTTCCATTTTTGTAGCTTTTTTGTACTAGATTAGATGTGGCTGAGAGTTTGATTAGGGTGATTCATTTTTATGTGAGGTTATTGCTATACAGATTGTTTTGACATACAATAAAGCTGTTCTTTTTCACATCTTCAGCTTGATTTGGCATTGCTATGTAATATTTACAAATTTTTTCACTTGGAAGAGATACATCTTTTTTTACAGAATTGAACAAGAACATGATGTCAATCTGTCAAAACATTTCACTGTCAGCTTTTTCATTGGTCAAAAATGCTGGATTACATCTGGAAAAAGAAAAACCCAACATTGACAATGAAACAACTTGGAATTATTCTAAGATCGTGTGATGTTTATCGCTTTTCTTCTTTCTTGGTGTCTGTAATTAATTGGCTTGAACAAAAAGAGGGTAATTTGGTGGAGTTCAACAAATGGTTGGTCAGCTAACATGTGGATGTTTTTCCTGCTTAGAAGGGAAAATGCATTCCAATAAATCAATTTACCCGTCAGTGATAATTATGGCATTAGAATAGTGTTCTTCTTTATTTTCATGTGAACATCATTAGATGGAGTGATCACGTTTGCATTTCATCATTCATACGCGTTAAGTTTGCTTCTGCTGGTCAAATCATTCTCAGATAAGCTTTTGTATACGATCAAATTTTAGATTATCTTTGGATCATAATGAAATGTGAATTCAAATTTTATAATTTTACTGGAAATAAAATAATAATAATAATATGGTAAACTGAATTACGACTCGTTGATATTTTAGAATCTTTACACCGACAATAGACTTTGAAATTTATCGCAATGGGTTAACCTTTTCCAGTTGTTTATATTCGGAAAGTTTATCAACTTCCACGAAAGAATGATAATAATTGTCCCTTTTTCTTTATTTATTTAAAAGTAAATAAAACAAATCAGAAGACTCCGAGTAAATTTTAAATTAGTCCTTTTGGTTTCAAGAAATAAACGAATCTTGTTTTTTTTTTAAATTAATTATTTGATTTTTATATTTTTATATTTTTCTGTAACTAACTCTTTTTTTTCTTAAAAATTAAAAAATATTGAAGAATTGATGAGAAAAATGACAATTTTTGAAATAAAATTATATTAAATAAGTATGATGAAAATTTATCAAAGAACTACACAATTAATTTTAAAAAATAAAAGGACTAATTTATAATTCACTGGAAGACTCCAAGACGCTAAGGAACAAATCATGAAAAAGAAAAAGAAAAGGTAAAGTTATTGCTTTACCCATGGGGAAAGGCATGAAATGAATAATAGAAAATTTGGCAAGCGTGTCTAACCCACAATCACGTTTGACCTATGTTTTCTCCTTGGATATGAACTAAATATAATATTCAACAACTAATTAATTAATTAATTAATTAACCTATGACATATAAGTATTTGTCTCCTTATGGATTTGTTTATTCTCCAAAATCTGCATCTGATTTGGTAGAAGGAACTTAATTAATTACGGCTATTCACAAGAAATGGTGACGATATTTTGTCAAAATTTGAAAGATTTCTCTTTCAAGATTGAAAATGCAAACAATAACTTCAAATTCTAGTCCATAAGGGTGGCGTATTAGTTGTATAAAAATTTTATTTTTCATCTTTGTAGCTATCAATCGAGGTCATAAGTTCCATTTCAACTGACAATCACACCGAACTTGTTATGCGTATGTCCTGTATCTGAAAGGTGTGTCTTCGGATTCCTTTTAATAATTATTTATTTTTCAAATTCTTTCTTTTACGAACTACTTAGGCTAATTCCCATATTTTGATAAGATGCTAGCATTATTATTATTATATAGAAACATTTTCTAATATATATATTCAAAGCTATCTTTGCATTTTATTTAATAACCGAGACAATTATTTTTTAGATATTTTTAAAATTCTATCCTTCTACCAATTTGATGCATTCAAAAAAATAAATTCTCGTGCATCCTAATCTCGACATTTGAATTCAGGAAATCAAAATAAAAAATAAAAAAAAATTTTAATCACCAACCAAACTCATCCTTATACTCATTGTTGCATAAAATAAAAAACTAGACGAATGACAATTATGATTAGAGTCGTGCAATCACTATCCTTAAGGATATTATTTCGTAAAGAAAACCCAACAAAGTACTATGAAGTAGAGAGGAAGATGATTTTTTTTTTTTTTTTCGGACATTGGCAACAAAGGTGGTATTTATAAGCTTAACTTAGGTTGGTTTGATGGGAGAAAGATAGGGATAATGATGGAGCAAAATCTGATAATATCATAAAAAATCTCAGCTGATAAACGGTTATAATAGACCTGTTTCGTGATCATAAAAATAAGAGTTATTTTAAACAAATTCAGGTCATGATAGGTCATTATTGTATTGTGCAACAAGGGGCAACCAAGTCATTTTGTTTTAGCTTGGCTTAGCCTATATGTGCATAAGCCCAATCTATTTTGCTTACCTTTTACAACCTTATAACATACTTTTTTAATAAAATGTTATTTCATATCTCTTCTTTAATAAGCGGGATGAAAGGTTTTGAAAAACTTTTAAAATATTTACAACACTTTCCATCAGAGAATCATATGGATAAGCGTTTTGCTAACGTTGTTCATAGATGGAAAATTTATCAACTTCAATGTGACTTGAGAGGGATAAAATCATTCCTGTCGAAACAGTATAAACACTGATGCAAAAATCTTAATGGTCACAAAGATTTGTCCATTGTCGTCCCTATCTCCTCCATCTATAACGAAAATCAAAAGAAGAAACCGCGTAAATAAAAGTTAAGGATCCTCCAAGGTGGTGAAGAAAAAATCGACATTGAAAAATATGTACATCATAAAGGCATTCAAGAAGGTGACAAGCATGGCCATATCTATGGGACAATAATTTTTGACCTTAAGCCCTCTCCTTTGGATGTATATTGATTACATTTATATTGATTAATTAACATATATATACACAATGACTTTTGAGAGAGAAGCCTCTCGACTCTCCTTATTTATTAATTTATCATTTGGACTTGCATAGACCAATTCTCTAGAATTTATCATTTGTGACCATAAATCTTGTCCCAATTAAAAAGATTTATCTTCAAGACTCTGAAAGTAGACAAGGAAAGGCAGAAGCCTCTCTCCTTGGAATGTTTCGTGAGTAAATAGATCAAATCTTTTTTGAAAATTTTTAATTTTTTGAGATTTAATCGATACTTTAATTTTATCATTTATTATAAAAATAATAATTACATAAATAGCTCTATAATGAAAATTATTCAGTAAAATTTACATGAGACTCTTCAAAAAATTTAGAATCATTCTAAACTATTTTTTATTTTTTATATTTATAATATTAAAAAATAAAAAATATATTTTTTGAGTGTGAAAAATTTTAGGAGTTTTTTAGAAAACAAATTGGATTTTTTATAACTTGTGTATAAAACTTCATATCAAAATATCAAGAATTAATTTTTTTTTTTTTTTTTTTTAAGAAAGAATGGTAACTGAAAATCATTAGATCAATTAAATCTTTTTAAAAAAATTAAAATTTTACCAATTTCAAAAATTAAATTAAAATACAGATATTCAATTTTAAATAAGTTGAATTTCAAAGAAAGTTTTGATCTATTTTGCCCTTGTTTGATTTTTCAAATAACTTTATTAAAAGAAGTCTCGAATATCTCTGTACCAAACATGCCATTCAAGGCCCAACAGGCCATTTTGCAGTTCTTGTCGGTTATCAATGGACTGCTCATGAAAATTATATATTATCTTTGAGAGATCGCATAATCTCATCTCTTTCTAGAAAATTACAGGCTAATTACTTGAAAGGTTTTGGCTTATATGCACGTGTTCTTGGCCATGCTTATCGTTAAACCTTCCTTGCCCAGTTTTGCATTTCTGTAGCAGATCAAAAGGGTAATAAATATAGATACTAGCTGAACTCCTATCTCCCATTTGTCAGCATTCAATCGCCCTTGGGTCAGGAAAGTGGGGTTGCCACAACTACAAAGACACATGTTTTCGTCTCATAGTTAAATATGGAATTGCTATAAACATGGGAGGACCATAAACTGTATGTGGTGGGCATTCCTTTGCCAGCTTTTTTCCTATGAAATATCCAATCTTATCGATCCCTTATCATCTATCATAAATAGGTATCTCCTGCTATACCTACCAAAGAGAGAGAAGCGTATTCCTCCAGCTGGGTCGACCTGTAGAACACAGAAATGGCTTCTAGGATAGAAGGGATTGTGTTCTTGATCTTTGCAGTGGCTTTGCTAGAGGGAGCAACCGCAGCAACAACATACAAAGTTGGAGGTGATGCCGGTTGGATAGTTCCTGTTAATACTACTTTCTATGAGAAATGGGCTGCTGATAAGAAGTTTGAGGTTGGAGATTCATTAGGTAAGCAAATATTTATGATTCCTTTGTTGCTTTTTAATCTTCTTTCAACTGCATTACGACCAAACGAATATTAGTAAGTTAATTAGTCTTTTCGATGTTTGATTGAGCTTGATCAATCATGTCATGCTTCCATTAACTAACTAAGGAAATGGCTGGAGCTTGCTCATCAATGATTATGAAGGATATGGAGATTCAGAAATGTGTGGATGGAAAAATTATTGAATTAATATTTACATATTTTGTTTGCTTTATGTTTGTTGTTCTTTGTATAAAGGGGTATCGATAAGAAAGAAAAGAAATTGGAGACAATTTTTTATTTTTTTTGTACGGTTCAGTAGGGCCACCGGTCCTCGAGGGACAAATTTGGCCCTCTTAAAATTTGAAAATTTTCAAACCCTCCTTTGAGCTTCTAAAATTTTTAATTTTACTTTTACAAAATGATCCTCATAAAATTAAAAAGTACACTTTCTGACCCCTCTACTTTACAAAATCTGAATTCATCCCTAGCCACCTCATTCATCACCCCTTGTGACTTGTGACACTCCTTGTTTATTTTATACCATAGACTTAAAGGGAGACAAAATGTCATTTTCTTAGCTGAATTCCAGGTTATGCATGATCCACATCTTTTGAAATTATGGAATATATGTAGTATAGTATGAATCAAAATATAGAGAAATCGAAGGTTAATGCATAATTAATGTTGGAAAATAAATTAAAACGAAAATCTCCTGACTCTGGTCAGAAAATATTGCAAAAAAATAATCAACTTATTGCAATCACCAACATAATTTCTAACTGATTAATAGGAAATTAATTTCTAATTCTTTCCTTTTCAATGCTATCAGAATTCGTCTGGACAAGCACACATACTGCCATGGAGGTAACGACAAAGGCCGACTACGATACCTGTGTTAAGACAAATGGAATACTTAAACAAACCAGTCCTGCAACCTTTCCTTTAACAAAAGATGGAACATATTACTTCATTTGCACCGTTGGACCACACTGTTCTTTGGGTCAGAAGGTTACCATTGTTGTTGGAAATGGAAACTCATCCTCTCCTTCTCCATCTATGCCAAAGAATCATGCTGCGTTTTCTGCTGTTCTATCCACCACCACCATTGCTGCTGCCAGTCTTATTCATCTTTGTTCTTTCTTGTTGTACTAACATTAATGTTTGTGCTTGGTGTGGAGTTTGATTGTCCACCTTAATTAGCTTCTCTACGCTCTGAAAATGTATTTGCTTCTCTACGCTCTGTTATAGAGTCTCAAAGATGCATATTATTCTATTAACTTTATCGTTATTAATTAATGTTTTTTACTGTTTCTCAAAAAAACAACCAACTCGATGACTTGGTCACTCTCTGCTTAATTTGTAGTTGAATGGTTCCCCTAGCAAGAGACAACATCATTGAATCAAGTTCAACACAAACAAAAATGTCAAACAATACGACAGATTAGCATCAATTAGGAAGTGTAATTTTGTCGCGTAAAATGCAAGGATGAACAAAAAAACTCTGCATCTCTTGCAAGTGTTGGTTCATATATATGTGAGAAACATTTGCCCAAGTTAAAACAACCTTGTACTAAAAGGGTCATTTTCACCGAGACTCAAAATTTTGGGCTGCAGGATAAGGGACAGTATCCTGGCTAGGGTAACATGGGAGATCATAATTCTGTCTTGCATATGACTATTTCTAACTCATCCCTTCTCATTCGTTTTAAAGTCAAAGTATCTTTAAAAAGATTATACTCCTAAAACATTGGTTGATAGACACAAGAAAATGGCCAGCCGCTTGTGTTTCAATATTGGGTTCTTGATTGTTGGATTACTAGGTTTGCTGGTTCATGGTGCAAATGCAGCTAATAAATGTATAGTTGGAGGTGATTTGGGATGAACCGTTCCTCCAAACAGCTCTTCTATGAGGAATGGGCCAGAAGCAGGACATTTCAGATAGGAGACACCTTCAATAAGGATTTCTGGTTCCTTTATGGGCTTAGTAATTACTCTTATATACAGTGAATGAATGATCTAATGATGTTGGTCATAATCTTTACCTCATAAATTTGATAGATCTTGTTCTTAAAAGACATCTCTTGAATAAAAAGGTTGTGCCTGCAGCTCATAAGTTAGCTACATTCCTCCAAATGACACACTTCAGGCCTTAGTTTTGGCTAGTTGTCTATAAAATAAAATGCTTCTTCAGAAGAAAGACTACCTAAAACTTTTAAACTGCTGTTTAGGTTCTCAACTCTTTATCGATGTAGATATTAGTAAGATTAAAGTATTATTGGGTTAATTAAACCACAAGGTGGCTCTGCCCACTAGTAAATAAGCGTTGATTTGTAAGTTCGGTTTAAAGTTCAATTTTTATGACCTGTATTCTTGAAAATTTATTCTTAAAATATTTGAAGTTATACGTTGAGGATTACTCCTTAACTATCTTCAAAGAGGAATTAGTCTCGAAGTATACAAAAATTGTCCATGAACACACTAACTATTAAAACAAAAAAAGTATTATTGGGTTAAATGCCTAAACCTCTGTTGTCACTGATTCAAAAGTACACATTTATGGTATTTTCTCAACTTATTGTTTAGTTCATAACTAATAAATGAAAAATGTTTTGGTTTTCAATTCTTTCAGTTTTCAATTGGAGCAACTGAAGTAGATTTCAAAAAGGAATATAATAATTGCTTCAAGGTAGGAATCATGCTGATGGATCCAAACGTTGAGATCACGTTCAATGAAAATGGCACACACTACTTCCTCTGGTTACTTCCTCTGGTTAGAAGGAATACATTGTAAACAAGGACAAAAGATGATTATAAAAATTGGAGACGGTATATATATATACAACCAAGTTTTGCAGCTCCATCTCTTACCACTTTGGGTTCCTTATCTGCTCTTCTTACCTCCCACCTTATCCATCTTCTTCTTAAATTTAATTTAATCAACTTACACCCCATCATGCAAGTTTCTTTTTCTTTTTTAGCCTTGTAGCCCTAGAATTGTGTGAGCCCTAGCAAGGTTGTTGGTAATAAACAGAAGTGAGGATACAAAATATTTGGTGCCATTCATCTCATCTCGTTTGTTTATGATATTGTATTGATTTGATTTGCTCATTTGTAATAAAGCTGTCTTAATTTGCAACGGAAGATTGATATGCATATTAGGCTAGGAGTCTTTCTACAAAAACGATGGCATGGAAAGTAACTTTATTGGATATTTTTATTTCATAATTATTGTATGCGTTACTTTTTCATTAATATCAGGTAAATTTTGATGTGTTGTTATATTTTTTATTTTGTCTATTATATTTTTTTAATAATATTTAATTTTCCAATATGTCATTTAATCAAAAATTTTTTCTTAAATTGATAAAATTATAATAACTTTTGGAGAAAAAAATGAGGTTTACATATTTATGATGGAGGAAAATGTTATAGGAATAGTTATTTTTTATAAATGTTATAGTTGAGAAAAATATTTCAGTTCTTATATATATATATATATATATATATATATATATATATATATATATATATATAAACTTAGTAAATTTGTTTTATTACATACAATTACTAAATTAAACATTTTTGTACAAAAATAACATAATTTTGTCTCACGCTGTACACACTATATTTTTGTAAGCTCATTTGTTTAAACGAAAACAAAATTAAAAAAATCATAATAAAAAAAAAGCCAATCTATAATCAATAGAAGCCCAACCTTATGAAGTCCGAAATGAAAATCTTTATACATAAAAGATTCCCTAATTTTATTAGGGTTTGCTAGTCCAATTCCTTTTTTCTTTAGAAAATAGACAAATCATTCATAATGATAAAAATAATACAATAATACTCATATATGTTTTTACGATAATTAAAGAAAATATAACTAGAGTATTAAGGTATTTGTAGATTTTAAGAGATATTTAATTCTTAAATTAAAATAATAATAAGAGTATTTTCCAAATAAAGTGTGTCTTTAATTCTGGTTGAATTTTTAATCGTTTCTTTTAATATCAGGGTCAGGTCTCGAAATTGTATTTTATATATATATATATATATATATATATATATATATATATATATATATATAAATATCTGTACTTAAATCAAAATAATGTTTGCCTTTAAGTTCTTGAATTCAAAATAGGCTTAGCCCACTAACTACCAATCACATGGGTATGCAAGCCCATTTTTATAAGCTGAAATTCCAGCCCATAAACAAGAGTCTTCTCAATTGCAATTTGGTTCTTCGTTGAAAAACCATTCAAATTTCCTGTGATCTAAAAATATCGTTCTTTTTTCTTTTTCTTCAAATTTTTGGTACTTAAAACAAAGTTATTGATTAAAAAAAAATCAATCAATTGTAATTTTTTTATTTATATTCTTTAATGCATGTTTTTCTATTATATTCTATATTAAAAATAAATCAATCAATCGTAATTTTTTTATTTATATCCTTTAATATACTCATCCATTAAATATTATTGTAAATTTACTATCACATTCAATGTACATGTATGGTGTTTTATTTATGAATTAGCGTAAATGTCCTTTCAAGAATATGTAAAAAGAAAAGAATATGAGAAAAGTATGATAAAATAAACATATCGTAAAATATAGATGAACTAGTGATTCATAACTCGAAGAGTTTAACTATCAAAAAAATATAAAGATAAATATATTTATTTGTTTTTATATGACATCTAAAATCTTGTATCTGTTTTTAAATTTTTCAATTACATTCTATTTGTTTTTAAAATATTCAATCTGTTATTTCGATCAATTTTTTCGACTATAGAAAAGAATTAAATAAAATACTTCTGATTAAAATTAAAAAAAAAATCTAATTTTTTTTTAAATTGAACATGCAAATCATGCGACTCGAAGTTTTTTTTTTTTTTTATCAATTTTTTCTACTATAGAAAAAAAATTAATAAAAAAACTCCGATTGAAATGAAAAAAAAATCTAAAAATTTTTAAAATTAAGCATATAGGTCATGTGACTTTAAGTGGTTTTTTTTTTTTTTGATGTTTTAATAAAAGGTATTTCGATCAAAAGAGTTTGTCCATTGTCGAAAAAAATTAATCAAAAAAATAAATTAAACATTTCAAAAAAAATTTAAATATAAATAAGATGTAATTAAAAATTTAAAAATAAACAAAAGATTTTAAGTATTACATAAAAATAAATATTTATGTTTATTCAAAACAAAATCATTGAATGATCAACACCAAAGAAACTATCAATCGTTAATCCAATAGAACAGCAAAGCAATCAGAGTACGTAAATTTGTCGTGTAAAATGTAAAGATGAGCAAAATTGCTACATTTCTTACAAGTTTCTGAGTTTTTTATTTTTTGTCTTTTTTTCGTTTACAAAGAAAAGGTTTGAATTCCGAATATCTTATAGAAAGAAGATAATAATACCAATTAAGCTACGATTCTCTGACAAGTATACGTTACTGTGTAATAATTATTTGCCCAAGTCAAAACCTTCATCGAACCACTTTGTACTAAGAGGATCATTTTCGTAGACTGTCAAAATTTGAGGCTGCTGGATGAAGGACAGGGTCCTAGTTTCAAGATCAATTCTAAAGTTTCAGTCAAACACTCAATTAGCTAGCTTATGCATACTGTTTCTTTATGCATGTGACTATTTCTCTCTCATGGTTCTTCTCCATGTATATATATAGGCCCATTTCTAACATGGGAGGATCATAATTTCTGTTTACCGTAGATCACACTTTTGAAAGACAAGATATATTCCTTCTCATTCCTTACAAAATCGTAGTATCTTCAAAGAGATTATACTCCTAAACATTGGTTGATAGAGACAAGAAAATGGGTAGCCGATTGTGTTTCAATATTGTTGGGTTCTTGATGGTTGCATCAGTGGGTTTGCTGCTTCAAGGTGCAAATGCAGCTAATACATATATAGTTGGAGATGAATTGGGATGGGTTGTTCCTCCGAACAGCTCTTACTACGAGGAATGGGCCAACAGCAAGACATTTCAGAAAGGAGACTCATTAGGTAAGGATTTCTTGTTCCTTTTACGAGATTAATTTGTAATTACACTTTTACATATTGCATGCATGATATTATCATGCTGGTCCATATCTGCAACATGCCTAGTCCTATCAAGAGGTATCGTCAAATTCATTCTAAATTGATTAATTATTTAAAAGCATACATGCATGGTTTTTCCTCAAATTATTGTTTACTTCATGGCTAATCAAATGAAACGTGTTTTGGCTTTCAATTCTTTCAGTATTCAACTGGACAACCGGAACACATACTGCAACTCAAGTAAGTACCAAAGAGGAGTACGATAATTGCACAAAAATGGGAATAATATTGGTAGATCCTGGAGTTAAAGTCACTTTCAATGAAAATGGTACACACTACTTCCTCTGCTCTGAAGGAACACACTGTCAACAAGGCCAGAAGATGATTATCAAAATTGGAGATGGCATAGCACCAAGTTTTGCAGCTCCATCTCTTACAGTTGCCGCCGCCATATCTGCTGTTCTCATCTCCACCATAGTCACCTTCTTCTTAAATTAAATCTAAATGCACCCCCATCATGAAGTTTCCTGTTTCTTCTTCTTCTTCTTTTGTTGGTCCCTTAGCTTTAGAATTGTGTGAGGCCTAACTAGATTGTTGGTAATAAAAGATGTGGGGATGCAGAATATTTGTTGTAATTTATTTAAGTTGTTTCTGATATTGTAATGATTGGATTTGTTCTTTGTAATAAATAAGTCTTTGCAATTAATACAACCTTGGTTGGACCATGCATACTCCTGCCGGTCCTGTCATATATTAGGACCAAAACTCCTTCGGTTACCAGATGATAGTGGTTGTCCAAATCCAATGCTTCCACATGTAAATATAGTGGTTGTCTATACAATTTATAGCACTATAATCATCTGTTTCTTGATCTTTCTGTCAGGTTTTCTTTCTGCCTAATTTTCTGTTAGTTTAGTGCCATACAAAACATTTTATAGTGGATTTAAAACAATAGGTGAATTGATTTTAAGAAATCACTTTTAAATAGAAGTCTGCAGCAACAGGGAATGATAATTCAAGGAAGGGAACAAAGATTCAAGAGACACTAGGAAAGTTGAGGAACACTTTCATTCTTAACAATTCACATCAAACATTTGTTTAGCTGGATCATCAAATGTTAGGCATGTTTTTTATGGCTACGAGGAGAAAGCAGGATTCTGCAAGTCTAAAAAAGAAAGCCCAGAACATCAATATGACCGAAAAAATGAAATCATTATGAGACATAAATATTCAATGGTGTCTTGTCCCAACAAATTTCATATTAGATCATGATAAGTGGGGATCCTCTTTTCCAAATCCTTGCCCACCTGATGTTGTTCCTGGACCGTGATCTGTAGAATTTAAGACTTCTCTTCATAGTTTTCAGAACTACTGAAAACTGATCAAGCTATCTTCTTTTACCTTATTTTTATCGGAGAATGTTCTTGGGCAACAGTTGGGAGGGGTTGGTTGGACTTTTAGCTATTGCTGGACGAGGACTGGTGAAAGTAGTCATGCAGACACGACTGTTCAAATCAGAAGAAAGACCACCTGAAACTTTTAAACTATTGTTAAGGTTCTGAACTCGTTATCGATGTGGATAAATTAGTTTTGGCTAGTTGTCTATAAAATAAAATGCTTCTTGAGAGGACAATCTTTCTTTGCAACAAGTTTGACGTAGTTAAATGATCGACCAACCCATTCAATGGCATCGGTTTTTCCCATACCTCAAGGACTGGCACCTCCTTCAGATTAATTCTAGAAAGTAAAAGACAAGGATAAACCAGACCTAGTTCCCCTTTTATAAGGCTTGTCTAGGCTAGTAAATAAATTAAGTATAGGATAGTCAAGTGAGTCTCTCTAGTACCCTTTAAAGGATAGTTCAATTCTAAGGTAAGCTTTATCAGCCAGCCTTCTCTCATTTACCTTGTACAAGCCTACGGGTCGGTACATCGATTCATCGACAAAATAAGGGATCCTGCTCTCGAAGTCATGCGCAGTAGCAATACCAAACCAAATACGACAAGTATTGGGGTCCTGAGCTAAGCCTTGGCTAACCCTTGGAAATCTTAATGTCTTAATGCCTTTTTAAGTCCTCCTAGCCATTATCCTACTGCAATAATTCGTGCTAAGAAGAACGCCAATGCTGTGGTATTTCCTCCCAGAAGGTAATGAGTGACTCCTACAGCACGTCCTTGTATACCGAATAAGTCAGTAAGCCCCACCAATGCCTAAGATATCCACCAGCAGATTCTCTAAAGGAAGCATAGAAAGGTTACCTTTCAGCGATCTTCGAAAGAGAGTATGCTCTTCTTGATGCAAACGATGGGAATGAAGATATCAAGGTTTTGATAGTTGAAAAAGAAAGGACATATCTTGCGGGCTGCCCTCGTATCAAACAACGAGAAAGGTCTTTTTCTCTCTCTCTCTCGATACAATCCATCGCGTTGGCTACCTAGCCAAGTTCTTTTTTATTATGTTATAATTGAGAAAAATATTGTAATTCTTATTTTATATATATATATAAACTTAATAATTTTTTTTATGAAAAAAAGTCGTCGCATATATACAAATACTAAATTAAACATTTTTGTATAAAAATAACATAATTTTGTCTCACGCTATACATACTAAATTGTTGTAAGCTCATTTGTTTAAACGAACACAAAATTAAAAAAATAATAATAATAAAGAAAAAGGCCAATCTATAATAAATAGAAGCCCAACCTTATGAAGTCCGAAATGAAAGTCTTTATACATAGAAGATTCCCTAATTTTATTAGTCAAGTTTTTTTTTTTTTTTTTTTTGAGAAAATAGACAAATCATTCATAATGATAAAATTAAAATTAATAGAATAATAATCATATTTTTTTCACGATAATTAAAGAAAACATAACTAGAGTATTAAGGTATTTGTAGATGTTTAAGAGATATTTAATTCTTGAATTATAATAATAATAAGAATATTTTTCAAATAAAGTGTGTCTTTAATTCTGGTTGAATTTTTAACCGTTGCTTCTATTCTTTCAATATCAGGGCCGGGTCTCGAAATTGTTTTTTTTATTATTATTATTAAAAAAATATCGGTACTTAAATCAAAATAATGTTTGCCTTAAGTTCTTGAATTCAAAATAGGCTTAGCCCACTAACTACCAATCGCATGGGTATGCGAGCCCATATTTGGTTCTTTGTTGAAAAACCATCCAAATTTCCTGTGATCTAAAAATATCGTTCTTTTTTTCTAAAAATTTTTGGTACTTAAAACAAAGTTATTGATTAAAAAAAATCAATCAATTGTAATTTTTTTATTTATATTCTATAATACATTTTTTTCTATTATATTCTATATTAAAAATAAATCAATCAATCGAAATTTTTTTATTTATATTCTTGAATATTCTCATCCATTAAATATTTCTGTAAATTTACTATCACATTCAATGTACATATATGGTGTTTTATTTATGAATTAGCGTAAATGTCCTTTCAAGAATATGTAAAAAGAAAAGAATATGAGAAAAGTTTGATAAAATAAACATATTGTAAAATATAGATGAACTAGCGAGTATTAATAAATAAATATAGTGCGCGCACATGCATATATACAATCTCAACGACTTAATCTCTGTTTAAATTTAAAATAATTCTACTATGCGTGATTCATAAATCACGAGTTTAACTATCAAAATATACAAAGATAAATATATTTATTTATTTTTATATAACATATAAAATCTTGTATATGTCCTTAAATTTTTCAATTACATTTCATCTATTTCTGAAAATTTTTAAAATATTCAATCTAACATTCTGATCAATTTTTTCAATTATAGAAAAAAATTAAATAAAATAGTTCTTATTGAAATGAAAATAAAATCTAAAAAATTTTAAAATTAAACATACAGGTCATGTAACTTAAAATATGTTTTTAGAACAATTTCTTCTACTATAAAAAAAAATAACCAAAATACTCCTCATAAAAATGAAAAAAATCTAAAAAGTTTTGAAATTAAAAATGCAAGTCATGTGAGTTTAAGTTTTTTCTTTTTTGTATTTTAGTAAAAGGTATTCCAATCAAAAAGAAATTATCCACGATAAAAAAAAAATTGATAAAAAATAAATTAAATATTTCAAAAAAATTTAAATATAGATGAAATATAATTAAAAATTTAAAAACAAGTAAATATTATATAAAGATAGATATGTATGTTTATTCAAAACAAAATCATTCAATGATCAACACCAACGAAACTATCAAACGGTAATCCAATCAATAGAATAGCAAAGCAATCGAGTACGTAAATTTGTCACGTAAAATGTAAAGATGAGCAAAATTGCTACATTTCTTACAAGTGTGCAACTTTTTTTTTTATTTTTCGTTTGCAAAGAACGGGTTGGAATTCCAAATATCTTACCCTCTGTTTGGATAGGGTAGAAAGTGGGGGAGAGGAAAGAAAATAGAGAGGAAATGAAAAGTTTCCTCCGTTTGGCTTGCGGAAGAAAGTTGGGGAAAGAAAAAAAATATTAAACAAAGCTAAAAGGGGTGGGACCTATTTTCCTCCCAAAATTGGGAGGA